ACATTCCAGTGGCTGTCTCCTAGCCACTCTAGCAAGAAGAACATGCTTGCTAAGAAAGATGCTGTCGGTGGATGCTATAGGAAATGTTTGCCAGCAGGGGACGCAATTCTGCTCCTCTATTGTGTAATTCCACCTGTGCCCAGGCCCAAAGCCAATAGTGAGCTGTGGTCAGAACTCTATCTAGCTCATCAGTCCTAGAGTTCTGCATTGCACAACCAGTGCACAGACAGCACAGCTCGTGCCAACCCAGAAACCCTTCAAGTGGCTTTCCCTTTAGGCAGAAGAATCCTGAGTTCAATATAGCAAGAGGGCAACCTTGGGAGCAAAAGAACCTGGAGCATTTTGCAACTTGAGGTGGGAGTTTAGGAAAAGCTTGAGTTGTGTGCAGATTGAAAGGGAACTAAGGGAACTAGCTGGGCCAAGAGGACAGAGAAGAGTGTTCCAGAAAAGGGAACAGTCAACAAAGCTGGGAAACAAAAGACACAACCTGGCGGAGATATAAGGATGGCAAATCTCTAAGTCCAGGGTGACTACAGTGAAAACAAGAGTCCATGGCCAAGTGCTGGTGGGTTACAGCTGAAATCCTAGCTACTCAGGAGACTGAGATCTGGGGATCACAGTTCAAAACCAGCCCAGATAGGAAAGTCCGCAAGACCTTTATCTCCAACTAATCACCAGAAAACCGAAAGTGGAGCTGTGACTCCAAATCTCAGTGATAGGGCACTACCTTAAACAAAAGAGCTCAGGGACAGAGCCCAGGTCTTGAGTTCAAACCTCATGACTGACAAAAGAGAGAGGGTAGGGGGGAGAGGGAGAGGCAGAGGTAGAGGCAGAGACAGAGACAGAGATGACACTATATAGCTATCAGAACAGTCAAACTTCGGGTAACATCATACTCTCAGTTGTTGCCTGCAGAGGAGTTTATCTACTCAGAAGACGGCTTGATGTGACAGTATCTTACAAAACTAAACACTCTCCAACTCTATAATCAAGTCGTGCTCCTGAGAAGGCATAAGGCGGAAACTGCACTACAACAGCTACATTTATAACTGCCACATCCTGGTAGCAACCAAAGCATCCTATAGTGGATGACTAAGCGGCATTTCCTCCAAAGGAATGTCACATTCAAATGAGTTACTGAGCCACAGAGAGAGAGATGAAGGAACTTGCAACATGCATCAATCACTGAAAGTATCCAATCAGGAAAAGCACCATAGTGTAAGATCTTACTACATGGCATGGGTAGAGGAGGTGGGAGGTTGAATAGGTGGACCAGAGGTTTTAGGGGTAGAACAGGGTATGACAGGACTGTAGTGGGTACATGTCATCACATACCATCCACACCCATGAGATATACACCATCAAGAGTGTGGACAGGCTCTGAGTGGTTGCCACAGTCCACACGGGTTTAGCAAATGAACACACTCTGGCCAGGATGACAGGAGAAGCATGTATATGTGGGGCAGGAGGTATCATGGAAAATCTCTGCCACTTACTCTCAAGTTTGCTAGAAACTGAAAACTGCTTTTAAAGCCTCTTAAAGGGGTTGGAGGCGTGGCTCAGGTGATGGAGCACTAGCCAATGAGCGAAAGCATCAGGTACCGAGTTCGAGTCCCGGTCTCAGACCTAAGGAAACCCACTAAAACCTGTTAAAAAGGGAAGAAGGTAAGAGATTAAAGAAGAATAATACAGGTGGAGTAAATCTTATCAAAGTACATTATATTTGTGTATTTAAATATCACAATGAAACCCCATTGTACAATTTGTGCTAACAGAATTTTTTAATATGTATGGTTATAAAATCTATATCCACACAAAAATGTGCCCAAAACTATTCACTGCTGTTTCATTGTCAAGACACAGATATCCAACAGGTTAATGGCAAAAAAACAGAAATGTAGTAGATTCATACAATGGGAAAATAGTCAGCCAAGAAAAGGAATGAGGTTGTGACATAGACTACAGCATGGACTGGTGCCAAAGACATTATACTACTTGACCAAAGCCAGAGACAAAAGCCACACACACCATGATCCTAGTTACATGAAATGCCCACAACGGAAAAATCCAGACATAACATTCATTTGTGGTTGCCAGAGGCTGAGGAGAGACTGCACAGGAGTTGGGGGAGGGGAATCTAAAAGGGGATCCGCCAGGTGCCAGTGGCTCACGCCTGTCATCCTAGCTACTCAGGAGGCTGAGATCTGAGGACCGCGGTTCAAAGCCAGCCTGGGCAGTAAAGGCTATGAGACTCTTATCTCCAATAAACCACTCAGAAAACTGCTTCAAGTGGGAGAGCGCTTGCCTTGAGCTGAAGAGCTCAGAGACAGTGCCTAGGCCCAGAGTTCAAGCTCCATGACTGACACAAATACAAAATAAAAACATTAGGGGCTGGGGAGGTGGCTCATTGGTAGAGTGCTTGCCTTGCATGTATGAGGCCCTGTGTTCCATTCCTCAGCACCACATAAGCAGAAAAAGCCGGAGGTGGCACTGTGGCTCAAGTGGTAGAGTGCTAGCTTTGAGCTGAAGAGCTGAGGGACTGACCGCATCCAGGTCGAGTTCAAGACCCATGACTGACAAAAAAATAAAATAAAAACATTAAAAAATAAAAAAATAAAAAGGGGATAGTAAAAACATGCTAGAATTAAATAATGATGAATACCAATGACCTGTACACTTTTAAATGGTAAATGTTACAGCATATGAATTGTATTTTAATTTCTTAAACCTATGTAACAAAGAAAAAAGAAAAGGACAAACAAAATCTATAATCCCAGTTGGGAGACTCCTTTCTGATCATTAGGAGGCAGGGGGACCTGCATTCGATAGGAATACAGATTTCAACACCACAGTTAAAAACTGTGCTTACAGCCAGACACGGGTGGCTCAAGCCTTGAATCCTAGCTACTCAGGAGGCTGAGATCTCAGGACTCCACTTTGAAAGAGTCCATGATACTCATCTCAGAAAAAGCCAGGAATGGAGCTGTGGCTCAAGTGGTAGAAAGCTAGCCTTGAGCAAAAGAAGCTCGGGGACAGCACCCAAGTTCTGAGTTCAAGCCCCAGGACTGGCACACACACACACACAAAGCCCTTGTGCTTACAGACCCAGAGAGAAAACAGCATAGGGCTGAGACAGAAGAAAACCCAACACTGAGTTAAAGGTGTATCTCAGTGATGGCATATTTTCCTAGCTCTGCAAAATAATGATGATGATCATCATCACATACCAGGAGCCAGGCCTGTGCTTTATGCCAAGCACCTCTACCAGTCCCTCTCACTCACTCCTAACAGATGACAAGATGGGGGTTCAGGAGGCACAGACAGAGCATCTGGCCGAGTCACCAGCTTGCTCCCAACCTCCCTACTATATTCTATCCCTCAGTACTGAGCCTCAAGAAATATGATTAGAACCTTTATCCACATTAAAAATGCCCCCGGGGCCAGAGCGAATCACACTACAGTTGGTACCAACAAAAACACAAACAGGCACCGACTAGATACGAGATAGAATTTTTAAGGAAATAGTAATGTCATACAGAGTTCTTAATGTTTCAAGCACTTAACCTTTTTTTTTTTTAATATCAGTCCCCACAAGTTCCTCCCTTCCTCGTTCTGAGGTAGAATGAGGCCCAACAGGGTAAGGACTCTGCTCCCAAGGGGCTGAACTTGGTCCTGAAGGATGTGGATTCTAGAATCCAAGCCATGAGCACAACCTGAGCTCCTACGTTGCCATGTCCACTCTCCCTTGCCTGTCAGGGACAGAGTCTGCAGAGGGAGGGATATGCTGCATCACGTGGTTGTTCACAGCACCCTTGTGAAAACGGGACACCACGACCCCAGGGACCTCATAAACATGGAGAAAGACACACCGAGGTCTTCCTCACACACCTCCCTCCAGGCAAGACTGGCATTCATTCTAGAGAAAAGACAGAAACACCACACCAAGGCTTCTATAGGTAGGTAGACCTTAAAATTGAAGAAAAATAAAAGCTGTTGGTGTTTTTATTATTTTCACAAACACATTTTTATTCTCTGCTTCTCTACTTACTGCGGTTTTATGGTTGGATGATAAACACAGATTTTTTTTTTATCACAGTCACATTAACATTTCTCGTATAAGGTCAGAAAGACAGTGCGCAGCTTCCTGAATAACTTCATTGAACAACTCTGGCCTAGGGTTTGCTGATGAACAATGACTGGGGCTTGCTCTAGGCCTGTGCAGAGCACATGGCAGTCAGAGGATTTGTCTCATATCTGCATTAGATTTCAGATCACCCAACAAAGGAGTAAACAGACACTCCGAGAGGGTAAGAGACTTCACCAAGGTCACAAAGAAAAAAAGCAGAATTTCTGGGACAGACATCCAGATCTCGGCTAGTGTTGGTGACTCACACCTGTAATCTCAGATGCCCTGTGAGCTGAGATCTGAGCATCACAATTCAAAGCCAGCCCAGGCAGAAAAGTCAGCAAGACTCATATCTTCAATTAAACAGCAAAAAGCTGGTAGTAGAGGTGGCTCAGCCTTGAGCAGAAAAGGCCAAGTAAGAGCATAAGGCCCTGAGCTCAAGTCACACACACACACACCACACACACACACACACACACACACACACACACACACACACACACACACACACACACACACACACACACACACACACACACACACACACACACACACACACACACACACACACACACACACGAACCCAAATCTCCTGCTTGCTAGGCCAAGGGTGTATCAAGTCCAAGCCTCAGCTGAGGGGATGGGGTCCTAGGGCCTTTCTGCCTGTAAGAAAGGAAAGCCAGGCTGGGAAGGTGGCTCAGTGGCAGAGTGCTTGCCTTACATGCTTGAGGCCTTGGGTCCGATTCCTCAGTACCACATAAACAGAAAAAGCTGAAAGTGGTCCTGTAGTTTAAGTGGTAGAGCACTAGCCTTGAGCTGAAGAGCTGAGGGACAGTGCCCAGGCCTAGAGTTCAGGCCCACAACCAACAAAAAAAAAAAAAAAGGAAAAGGAAAAGAAAAAGAAAAAGAAAGGAAGGAAAGCCAGCAGAACAAGCTGGAAATTATCGGAATTTGGCCCTGGAAGTTTCTTTAAGAAACTGAGTCTGAGGGAAAGACTGGGAAAGTGTAAAGGAAGGGGTGACAATGTCCAAAAAGAAATGTACTCTTTACCTGACTGACATGTAACTATAACCCCTCTGTTTATCACCTTTATAATAACAATAAAGTTGTTTAAAGAATCTGGGTCCTATCAAGATGTACTGTATATATAAATTGACATACTGAATTGAAACTCTTTAAAAATAACTATTTTAAAATAACTTTTAAAAATTAATTTTAAAAAAAGTTTGTTTTTTAAATAGTCAGGGCTTTAACGAACCATCCAAGGTACCAGCTTGGAGGGCCAGCCACAGAAAGCAACTCACCAAGTTCCACCACTAGAGTGTTAGCTCACAACCAGAACCCAGGGCCACCGTGATCCAGGTCCCCACATTCAACCGCATTTGAAAAATCATTTGCCCAACTGCCACAGCGATGGAAAAACAACGAAGCCACAGGATTTCTTTCCTTTGCAAGTCCAGGCCAAACACAAAAGATACGTGTTACAGTCTTTGACCTTGAGGAGTTTACAGTCTAGCTAGAAAAGCTGGCATATACACACAGGAATGTAGAATTCATAACAAAACAACAGTATGGGTCGTCACTGTATCATGGATTTAAAGGAGATAGAGACTGGAAGATTTCCTCAAGGAGGGAGGGAGAAGGGAAAGTGGACTCTGAGGCTTAAATAAGAGTCCAAACAACAGACAGGAGAAATATGAACAAGAGTTCAGGAGAAAGTTTCAACTTATAATGGGGGTTTTGTGGGAGATGAGGCCTAATTGCAGGTGAAGATTAGGTTTGTGGGGATTGGCTGCCATCAGAGGCCAGGCCAGGGCTTTGGGTTGTAGGCCTATTAGAACCACAGGTTCTAATTGACCCTCATTAAAGCAGAGCACCTGGATGTCTCTGAGCTTTTCACAGAATTACAAGACTGATCACACCTCCCCCACAACAATGTTAGTGTCAGAAAGCCTCAGCCATTGCTCTGTCTCAGGAGAAAACCACAATGACAAGCACGTGTGCCCTTGAACCCAATCTGTCTTCAAGTCAAACAGGATCCACCTTTCCAAATCATCAGTGAACAGTTATCTGCCCTTTGCCACCTTTTTCTTCCTCCTGTCTTCTCCCTCTGTCTTCTGTAACCTGGTGCTAGCGGACAAGCACAGGTATCACTGCAGGCCACAAAATATGGAACAAAACCAAGCGTGGAGGAAGTTCTGGGACTATGTGTCTCTCTTGCACAGAACTTTAGAGGTCAGAGGCTGATCATGGAGAGCAGTATCCTGGCTAAGTGGTGGGGGATGGCAACATCACTTGAAGATTCTCCCTGTGTGGTTACCTCCCATTCTCCTGGGCCTGTGGGAAGGAAAGGGAAGGGATGGAAAGCAGTCTCTCCATTCACACCACAGATCCACATAACTCAGCAGGGGATCTGGGCTGGCGCCAGATCACAAGTCACAGCTCCCATGAGGCCTGTGATCAGCATGCAATGTGGACGAGACAGGACCCTAGGGTGAGCACCACGTCTGGTGGTAACCCCCAGTGATGCTCTCCTTGCGGTCTTGAATTCCTGAGGTCTCCCCATGGTTCAGTCTTCGAGGAAGATGAGGCTTTGTCCCTGGGTCACCTGGTCAGCAGTGGGCAGCACCCCGTGCCCAGGATGTGGGCTTCTATGAGTTGGCAGGGACATGGAACCCTTGGAGAGTCTGTGTGTCGTGTCCCCATGTTCTGGGGAAGCTGGGAGGTCACAAGGAGCCGTGTGTAGTAGCCACCAAACACTGCCAGCAGCTGCCGGGCCATTTCCTGGAGGAGGCAGGAAGCAGAGTGAGGACCACGGGGACCTTAAGGGCAGGAGGAGGCACCAGAGGAAGGCCAAGCCACCATGGTGGTGATGGTGACACAGCAATGCCTGGCACCTACTCCCATTTGTCACTGTAATTTATGCTCAAATTCTCTATTATGTATGTTTTTACTAAAATGAAAAAAAAAGAGAAGAAAAGGTAAGGAAGAAAAGGGGTTTTAAAAATTGGATTCAACGTATGCTCTTCTCCTACGAAAGCACCCCACGTGGGTCTATGGCTGGGAAAACAAGGACAATGCTTCTATTGCTTATGAGGGGTCACAGATTTTCACAACACTTTGTCCACTCTCCATATAAAAGACACAGTTGTGCCTGACATGGAGGCTGTTTACATCTGCAGAGTTATGAGTTAAGAGCAGACTTCCAAAACAAGAAGGCCAGGAGGAAATTCCAGCCCATCCATTCTGTGCTATCCCTGAGTGGGGCCCTCCACCCGCTGAGCTCATAGCTCCACCCACGTCAGAGAGAACCAGAGCTTTGGCTGGACTGTGGAGCACACAGACAGGAAGCAGTTAGCCCAGTGCTAAATGCTTACCAAATATCATCAAGAAATATCAATAAATGGCTCAAGAAATGTCATGAATATTACCCCATTACTATTAAATCTGCCCAAACTCAACATGTCTGTTAGCACTGGTTTTTGTTTTAAGCTGTTCTTTGGGCTAGCAAACATCAAAACTTTCAAATAATATCACTAACTTAGATGGTTTAGATTAAATAATATCACTAGCTTAGATGGCTTCTCACTTAGTCCAAAATCAATAGGATGAAGAGCATCTTCGCGCAACTATTTAAAGATAATAAAAATAAAATAAAAGCTGAACACTGGTGGCTCACACCCATAATCCTAGCTACTCAGGAGACTGAGATCTAAGGATCTAGGTTTGAAGCCAGCCTGGAAAGGAAAGTCCATGAGACTCTTAACCACCAGAAAACCAGAAGTGATGCTGTGGCTCAAAGTGGTAGAGTACTAGCCTTGAGCAAAAGAACTCAGAGACAGCACCCAGGCCCTGAGTTCAAGGCCATGATCAACCAAAAATAAATACATTAGTTAATTAAAAGAAAAGGAAGTAAAGAACTATAATAAGACAAATGGCTTCCTAAGAATCAGCAGGGCTGGCTTCTCCCTTGGTTTTGCCAAATTCTTGCTCTCTGAGCTGGGGCACGTCCGTTGACCTCTTAGTCATCAAACAAGACAAACTAATCCGAGCATCCTCAGAGGGCATGTTAAAGAATTTTATGCAGGATAAAAGTCCGTAAAGCTGTAAGAAGTCACTCTAACTCTCTGTCTTTCACAGATATCAGGAGTCAGCTGAAATAGGTTGGTCTGGTCTCCGCTGAGACCTGGGCCACGACTCTATTTTCCCTGGTTGAATTATAAGGACAGCTACTTTTAAAACATGCACATACACGCTTGATATTCAGGACAGGAAATTGTATTACTAGGGGCCTGGATGAATTTGAAAAAATAATTTTAAAGACCCATATTTAATATGCTTTTGCACATAAATTCAGATATGCATGTCACTATAAAGTACACGGCCTTATCCATCTTTTTCTGCTATATATATATATATATATATATATATATATATATATATATATTCATTGGGAGGGAAGTGAAGAGATTTAATGTGGTTCAGCACTAGGCTTGACCTTGGTGCCTCTTGCTCATGCTTGGCTTGCTTACTCAGCTAAGTGCTTTACCACTTGAGCTTCTCCTCCAGCCTGGCTTTTTGTTGGTTAACTGTAGATGGAGTCTCTCAGACTTGACTCAGAATCATAGTCTTCCAGGTCTCAGCTTCCCAAGTAGCTAGGCTAATAGGTGTGAGCCACCAGTGCCCAGTTTATGAATAGATTTTTTTTTTTGTCAGTCATGGGGCTTGAACTCAGGGCTTGAGTGCTCTCCCTGAGCTTTTTCACTAAAGGCTAGCATTCTATCACTTTGAGCTACAGCTTCCCTTCTGGTTTTCTGGTAGTTAATTGGAGATAAAGTCTCATGGACTTTCCTGCTCAGGCTGGCATCAAACTATATGATCCTCAGATCTCAGCCTCCTAAGTAGCTAGGATTACAGGCATGAGCCACTAGAACCCAGGTATGAATATATTTTTTAATGACCAATTATTCATCAATATTGGTGAGACACACTACATCAACAGGTAACCACCCTCCAATGTAACCATCCAAAACAGACAGCCAACCCAGCACTTAAGAGGCTGATGCAAAAAGAACTGTGGGTTCAAAGCTAGCCTGGGCTACTTAATAAGACCATGTCTCAAAAAGAAAAAAAGGCAAGATATTTTAAAATGCAACAACAAAAATCCCAATAAATACAAATGGAGTCCCTTAAGTTAACTGTTAAATTGTTAAGGTAAGGCAAGCCTGGTAGTATACACCAGTAATCCCAACACACTTGGGAGACAGAGGCTGCAGGATGACCAGTTCAAGAACAGCCTGAGCTATACAGTAAGAAAAATCAAAGCATTATGTAACTGTAACCCTTCTGTAAAGCACTTTTATAATAACAATTTAAAAATTTAATCAAAGCAAAGAAAGTATTTTAGTAAACAGAAAAAGTGAAAGACATATTTGTTCTGGATGGTCTCTAGGAAACTGAAGAAACCATGTCCCCCCCCCCCCCCCCCCCCCCGTCCCCCGCCCCAAGAACCTAAAGCTGTCCCCGGACAAAGTCTACACAGGTGCCCTCCAGGGAGCCGCAGCCTGATGGCCGTGCACTGATTACCTCCGGCTCAGCGTCAGGGACGAGCTGGTGGAGCTGGGTCTGTATGAGTGGTCTCTCCTGAGGATCAGGGCCGCTGCTTAGGAGAGGGGTATCTTCAACATCCTCAGGCCTCTCCACCGTGGGGCTCACCCTCGTCTCTATGACAACACACAACTGGCTCAATCTGCTTCTCAGCGAGGACTGTAGAGGAAAGGAAGGAGGCTGGGGTGTGTCTGAAGTCAGGAGGGATCTGGACAGCAGAGGTGGATCCAGGCGTAGAGCCAGAGACTGACCTCACTACATTACAGATAGATACACTGAGATTTGGGTCCTCGCCCAAACACACACACACACACACACACACACCACACACACACCACACACACACACACACACCACACACACACACACACACACACACACACACACACACACACACACACACACACACACACACACACACACACACACCAGAAAATGGTTCCTGACAGCAGCCTGAGGTAGAGTCTCTATCACTACATTGCAGATAGATACACTGAGACACACACACACACACACACACACACACACACACACACACACACACACACACACACACACACACACACACACACACACACACACACACACACACACACACACACACACACACACCAGAAAATGGTTCCTGACAGCAGCCTGAGGTAGAGTCTCTATCACTACATTGCAGATAGATACACTGAGATTTGGGTCCTCGCCCAAAGCCACACTGCAGATAAAGAGCCAGAATCAGAGTGAGACCACAACCCTGACTCTAAAACTGACTGCAGGGTGTCCACAGCAAAGAGCAGGCTAACTCCTAGAGAAGGAGCTGGGACTCAAAGCCCTGGGCATCACCAGTGCTATGACCATAACCACAGTCAGGGAACAGCTCCCAGAGCCTATTTTCTCCTTGGCAGAAGCAGCAATATCTCCTGTTTTCTAAACAAATGGTAGAAAGACCCTTTGAACAAGTGACACCACCTAAATACAGGAGATCTTTGGACCCGTTAGTTTATTATTAACAGAATTCTCAATGTGAAGAGATCCAGGCTTACCATGGGAAATGTGGAAGATTCGCCTCATTGAAAAGCAAATATTTCTGCATGTTATACTGCCTTCCAATAATTTTCTTCTTCCTGGTCATGCAGCTTGAATGATGAGCCTGGGCACTGTCCCTGAGCTTGTGTGCACAAGGCTAGCGCTCTACCACTTGAGCTACAACTCCACTTCTAGTTTGGCGATTGTTTTGTTTTGCCTTGTTGGGGGCAGGGGCTGTAGTTACTTGGAAATAAGACTTTCATGGATTTTTCTGCCTGGGCTGGCTTCAAACCATGGTTCTCAGATCTCAGCCTCCTGAGTAGATAGGATTATACATGCATGAGCCACCTGCACTTGGCAAGAAGTTTTTTTTTTCTCAGACATTTTTCCCAACACTGAGGTCATGCCATCTATACAATTTGGCATTCATTTATTTCATTCTTTTCTTTAGGTAGTTGTACAAAGGAGTTGTTAAGAATACATCTTGATCCATGTCACCCCTTTCAACATTCTCACCCACTCCTTCCCTTACATTTCTTAATTTTGTTAAGATATACATTGGATTCTTATCTTCTTTTCTTCATTCATCTACCCCTTTCCTCTTGACCCTACCACATCTTTCAAGTACTCACTTCCAGGTGTTTTATTTTGCTGAACTTTGATTTTTACCTTTTGAAAGAATTACAGTTTGAGATCTCCCTTGAAACTACTGTAGCTCAGTCAAAACATTTGTATACACTTGCATCCCACCCAACATATTATGAGTCTACAAGCTAAATCTCGCTTCCACATATAAGAAAAAATATGGATCCCTTGTCTCTCTGGACCTGATTTACTTCACTGAACACAATTTTCTTCCAAGGCTTTCCATTTCACTTTTTCCAATGGATGAGTAAAATTCTATTGTGTGTATATTTAGGATATCTTACCTCTTGGCTCATCTTCATTTCCTGAACGTGGTCAGACAAAAACTGCACACAATTCTCCAGGTCAAAGTAGACAAACCAAAGCTGAGGAAGGAAGCAGCCAGAGCCACAGTGGCTCAGCACCTGCCCAACCATGAATTATGAATTCCCAGCCCTGAGTCCGCCCTCCACCCACTGTTCTTCCCAAGGTCCCCCTTTGGAGGATTACTTGATGTGTCCTGCTGCCTGGCAGAAAAGTTCGTGTTTTTCCTTTTATTTGCTCTGCTACCAATTGTGCATACTAGCCAAGGGTTTAACCCCTGAGCGCCCACCTCCCAGTCCTCTCCCCATCAAAATGGCTTTGTGTGAAAATTCAGAAAATATTCAACCTTGATAAGAAAAAAAAAAAAACAAGTGAGTAGGAGAGCCAGGTATCAGTGGCTCACACCTGTAATTCTAGCTACTCAGGAGGCTGAGACATGAGGTTCATGGTTTTGAGGACAGCCAAGGCAAACAAGTTTGTAAGACTCTATCTCCAATGAACTGGCAAAATGCCAAGCTGGAAGTGTGGCTTCTGTGGTAGAGCCCAAGTTGAACAAGAGCATTAGCCCTGAGTTCAAGGCCCAGTACTGGCACAAGAAAAAGAAAAAAAGAGGAAGTGGTGCTGTGGCTCAAGCAGTAGAGTGCTCGCCTTGAGCTGAAGGGTACAGAGACAGTGCCCAAGCCCAGAGTTCAAGCCCCACGACCGACAAAAAAAGCAAAAAAGGCCAGGATCCCCATCTCTTACAAGTGATTAAGACTCTCAATAGACTGTAAACCTTCCCAGACAGCATGTGTCCATCCAGGGATGCTACTTCGTCTCGCCTCCAAGGGCACCTTTCTACTGGCATCCCAAACACAGCGGTGAGTGGAGAGCCCTTCGAAGCTGGTAACTACCACACAGGGCCACACCCAAGGGCATCAGCTTGGGTGGTCCAGGGCCTCACCTCCCTGGGCTGCCACATCAACAGTCCCCAGAGGCCAGGCTGAAACCCCTGGGGTTCCCATCTTGTGACACATTATGTGATTACACATCACAATCAAATGGTACAGTCCGGTGCCATCGCACATCCACAGGCCTGCGATCTCCCATTGGACAGGGGACCCCGCAGGCTGCTTAAAGGGCCACCCATGACCTTCAGCAGCAGAGCCCCTAACACGCAGTGCAGGCTGGGAGCACATCAGGCCACCTGCCTTCAAAGCAGACGCCCCAGAAGGACAGAGTACCTGGATCACACTCTGGCACCCCTCCACGGCATCTGTCACCCCCAGCAGCACCCGGTAGCCTAGGAGGCCTCCATTAGCCGCCGTCAACCGCAGATCCGTATTCGTGTTGGCCTGTGGGACAAATGACAGGCCCGTGTTGGCTGAGGACTGCCGGGACTGGTCCTCCTCTGCCACACGGCAGTCCTCACCCCAGATTCCATTTCCTCCCTTGTAAAGTGGAATTGTTGTTGGGATGGTAAAGTGAACAGCATTAGATGGCCTGCGTTGAAGGCTGGCTCTGCGAGCTGCTGCTTCACGGTGTGGCCTGGACAGGCTCCGGCTCTTCCCTGATCTTGCTGTCTTCAGCTAAGAATGGAGCGTATCTCTGCCACCCAGGAACAGGGGAGGGCCTGCTGAGATGGGGTGCAGTGGGGACAGGGTAGACATTTGTGGGAGACAGGACTGACAGAGAGAGCAGCCACAGTGTGTAATCTTCATCTCTGCCCTCTCAGGCCTCCAGTCCTCAGCTCAGTGCCTGGCCCTCCAAAAGGGCTGCTTCCTTCCGCTGCCACCCACACCAAGGAGACAGGGGAGGGAACAGACCCAAAGCAAGTGCTGAGTGAAGAAGGACCTGAGGAAGCCAGGCACCCAGGGCTCAGACCTGTAATCCTAGCTACTCAGGAGACTGCCAGCCCAGGCAGGAAAGTCCATGAGGCTCTTATCTCCAGTTAACCACCAGGAAACTGAATTGGAGCTGTGGCTCAAAGTGGTAGAGCAACAGCCATGAGCACAAAAGTTTAAGGACAGCATGTAGGCCCTGAGTTCAAGCCCCACAGCCCTCCCCCCCCCCCAAAAGACAGGAAAATGTAAGTCTCTCACAGATGCTGTGACATAGAAGGTCCTGATAGAGTGACATCAATCAGGAAGAGGGATCTACCAGGCCCTGAGTGGTAAGAAATCCAAAGGGCTAGAGATTCATGAGCCAAGACCTGAGAAAATCTGTGTGTCCACAGACCACTTGATCAGCCTCTCTGAGCTATTCTTCAATAAGAAGAACAATTGATATTTACTGAGCTTTTATTTCACACAAATTACTATTAAGCCCTGGATGCATTCAATCACTCAATTCTCACAATAATCCTATGATAGCACTACAGTCATTTTATAGATTAAGGAGACTAAGGTCCTGAGAGGTGACACCATTAATTTACCCCAAGCTGAAGAGCTCACTAACAGGAGCAGTATTCTATCCCTTTACAAAGCCATCAGGTACTAAGCACAGGGCCCACAGCAGGTGAGCAGAAGGCAGTGGTGATGCTGGAGGGATTTCCAGAGCCAATAATGCTTGGACAGGGGTCTCTGTGCACTGGGGCCTCCACCATGCACCTATGAGCAGGGGGCAGGTCTTGCTCATCTCTGGGACCTGAGCCTAGCAGGTCACTGGCGCTCCTGGGGGCTGCCCACATACAGCTGCAGAAAGCAAACGGGAGCAAGGGAGGCAGAGCCCCGGGCAGCCATCTCCTCAAACAACACAAATTACATCTGCATTTGCCAGGTGCCCGACTTCCTGCTCCTGAAGTCACCTTTGCATTACTTTTCTCTCCCCAAGAGAAATTTCTGGCTCAATTTATTTTTTATAGGCCAAGCACAGGAACTGTGAAATCTTCCACAGAGCCCCAGGGCAGCATTACCTTATCAGCCTGGTGGCAAAGCCCAACAAAGATCCTTTCAGAACAATTAAACCATGAAATTCTATTTATCCTTGGAACTCAAGCAGAAAAAAAAAATGGAACTCATGCCCCAGACCCTGCCTGCCTTTCCCAACACACTCTGAATTAGGCAGGAGCTGAGTGTTCACCGAGGATGTCAGAGCCCAGCACTCGGCAGGGCAGACAACCAGGAATGTCAAAGCACCATGTGCTAGGCAACGTAATGTTCTGAGTCGCCCGCTCCATTCCCTCACAGCCCATGAAAATGATCTCAGCTGACCACAGCATGTACAAAAGTGGATGTGAAGCAGAAGAGGAGGACAAAGACTTGGCTGCATGTGGCTGGCTTTAAGGAAGGGGCCGCAAGCCAAGGAATGCAGGCAGCCTCAAGCAGCTGAAGAGGCCAAGAAGTAGACTCCCATCAGAGCCTCCAGGGGATCCCAGTACCTTGATATAAGCAGGGGCCACATTGGACTCCAGACCACAGGACTGCAAGATCATAAATGTATACTATTTGAAGATACCAAGTTTATGGTACTTTATCACTGAGGTCCCAAATTCCTATAGAGAATTCCTATAGGTTACTGGGAACATGGTTTGGAATTTGAACCTCCAATTCTTATGTTTAGCATCAAAGCCTAGGGGGCTGCTCCTAGAACCTATGGGGGTCTAGGGTCCTCCATCTGTAAACTGATGGAACTGCCTCTAGTCACAATGTCAATGGGACATGTAATACATTAACACTAATTTAGCAAGCACCCTACTCTGCACGCAGCAAATTATAAGCACTGAAAACATAATGCCATCAATGAGCCTTACAGAAAGCTGGGAGGATTTGTCTCCCTCACTGAATCAGAGGGTTCAGCTCTCACCTGACTCTGCCACTGATACTGGGATCCAAGGCAAGTTACCGCAATTCTGAAACCACCCACTCTCTGCTGCAAAGGTCGCAGTTGGGGGTAGAGGCATGGCTGACCACAGAGTACAGACTAGACGCCCATCACAAGAGGAAATCAGGCAGATCACCTCATAGCCCTCCCTCTCAGGCCCTTGTGCGACAGGAAGGGAGGGGAGGCATATGAAAGGGTTCAGTTCAGCTGGTGTCAGTGGCTAATGCCTGTAATCCTAGCTACTTAAGAGGCTGAGATCTGAGGATCATGGTTGGAAGCCAGCCCAAGCAAAAAAGTTCATGAGACTCTTATCTCCAATTAACCACCAGAAACCCAGAAGTAGAGCTGTAGCTCAAAGTTCAAGAGTGCTAGCCTTGAGCAAAAAAGCTCAGGGACTGTATCCAGGCCGAGTTCAATCCCACAACCCTCACCCCCCCCCCCCAAAAAAAAAAAAAGGCTCAGTTCACCAAAGTGTCCCCTGGAATGCTGGGATGTCTCAAGGCAGCTTGATTCTAGAAAACCAATCTACAGAGCTGGGAGCCAGTGGTGGCCCAAACCCGTACCTAGCTACTCAGGAGGCTGAGATCTAAGGATTGAGGCTTGAAGCCAGCAGCTTTTCCAGCCATGGGCAGGAAAATCCATGAAACTCTTATCTCCAATTAATCAGCAAAAAGCCAGAAGTAAAGATGTAGTTCAAGTGTTAGATCACCAGCCTTGAGCAAAAAAGCTAAGGGACAGCACACAGGCTCTGAGTTGATGTTCTAGTATGCAGGCGCGCGCGCACGCACACACACTCTCTCTCTCTCTCTCTCTAGGGAAACACAAAGAACTCTCTTCTGTTCCCTAACCAGGAGACAAATGGCTTCACTCCACCAAGAGCAGCTGTCTCTTCATGAGCTGAAAGCAACAGAACCAAGCAAGTATGGCTCACAAATGTGAGAGGAGGTATTTATTTTGTTCCCTTCACAAATAAAGATGACCAGGCATGATAGTACAAGCCTGTAATCCCAGCACACTAGAAGCCCACAGAGGGTATCATAAGTTCCAGGCCAAGAAGGAGGAGGAGGGAAAGAGGATAAGAGAGAGAGGGAGGGGGAGGGGGGATAGAAGGGGGGAAAGAGGGAGTGAGGGAGGGAGTGAAGGAAGGAAGGAAGGAAGGCAGGCAGGCAGGCCAAAGAGGATTTAATTTTGTGTGATTTGATTTCTTTTAAGTCACTGGGCAGATAAGCCAGTGTGAATTTTCATGTTTGGGGAAGTTGTTTTTTTTAGCTTTCCGCAGTCCTGAGGGATTGAATTCAGGACCTCTCACGTTACAGGCAAGCATACGTCTATTTGAGCTATACCAGGTTTACATATTGGTGGTGGTGGTGTTTTTATGTTTTGGGGTTTTTTTCAGTTTCTGAGATTGAGACTCAAAACTCACTATCTGACACTTGCTTTTGCTCATTGGCTGGTGTACTTCCACCTGAGCCACGCTTCCAACCTGACATTTTGTTTCTGAGACAGTCTCTTGCTACCTTTGCCCAGGCTGGCCTGAAAGTTGTCACAGTCCTCCTATGTTCTTCTGCTGTGTAGCTAAGATGATAGCAAAGTGCCACTGCACACAGCTTGGAGGAATTCTTTGAGGTGGAGGAGAGAAGACCTAGACTTGGGCTTGTCAGGCCTGCCCGACTCTCTGGAGGGAGCAAGGCAGGGGCTCCAGACATCTTACCTTCCTCTGATGCCTCTCAAAGATGAGCACGAGAGTCAGGGTCACACTCACGGCAGCCAGGGTTGCGAGCAGCACGCCCGCCCAGTGCTTGCCCAGAGCAAACAGCTGGCTGGTGGAGTAGATATTGGCCCACACCACCATGTAGAACACCTGAAGAAGCCAGGGAAAGTATGGTCAGGGAGCAAGCTCTGCTCAGCACTGCCCCTTGCAGACCTTCCTACCACTCCCACCCCACAAACAGCTGCCAGGGCCAGAAAGAGACCATCCCAACAACACTAGGCCCATAGAAATGGGCACATGTTCCTCATTTGTAAGTAAACATTGAGGGTAGGTTCCTAGCCATTCCTAACCCAACTTTTGGTTGGTGGTAGTGATCATGGGGCTTGAACTCAGGGCCTGGGCCTTGTCCCTGAGCTCTTTCTGTTCAAGGCCAGCCACAGCTCCACTTCTGATTTTTGAGTGTTTAATTCTGTCCCAGCTGGTTCCAAACCACAATCCTCAGATCTCAACTTCCTGAGTAGCTAGGATTACAGGTGTGGGCCACCAGCTACTGACTCAACCCTTTTTATTCTCTCTTTCTCTTTTTTAATGTGCCAGGACTGGTGCTTGAACTCAGGTCCTCATGCTCTAACTTGGTTTTTTCACTTACAGCTAGAGATAAGAATCTCATGAACTTTTCTGCCTGGTCTGGCCACCGGTGGCTCATGCCTGCAATCCTAGCTACTCAGAAAACTAATATGTGAGGATTGCAGTTCAGAGCCAATTCAGGCAGGAAAGTCTGTGAGACTCTTAGCTCCAATTAATAAATTTTTAAAAAAGCCAGAAGTGGAGCTGTGGCTCAAGTGGTATATTGCTAGCTTTGAGCACAGAAACTCAGGGACTACGCCCAGGCCTTTAGTTCAAACTCCAGGATGGGCACAAATAATAATAATAATAATAATGACTCAAACCCCTCATCTCTCTCCATCCATCCTCTAGTTAAACCTAAAGTTCATGTCTGTGTCCTGAAGATGTGCACTTCTCTGTGATTCACCCAAGCCCTGTATAAATCTCTTGTCTGCTCATTCCGCTACTCTTCTTTTATGTGGCACATTGGAGTGACCGGACTGGACCCTTTGGGCCTGGGATTTAGACCTCTGGTCAAATGCACATGTAAATGTGTCCATGTATAAAGACAGCAAAAGGAATCTCACTGAAAACTGTTGATCAACAGAGAGTTGAGGAATGAGGAAAGAGAGCAAGGGAAGCAGTTATATTAGGATGTTCACAATACTTTTTGGCATTTTAATAGACACTGAAAATAAAATGAATGACAGGAAAGTGAAACAGGCAAAGAGGGATGGGTATCAGTGGGGGCAGGGGGGAAGGGAATGTGATTCTTTTTTAAAAAAGAAAAAGAAGCTGGGCACAGTGGCTCCAGACTGTAACCCCAACTACTTGAGAGGTGGAGATCCGGGGAAAGAGATTCAAGGGAGCCTGAGCATAAAATCCACAAGACGCCATTTCAATCAATGTCTGGGTGTGGTGGTGCGTGCCTGTCATATGAGGGACAAGAAGAAGCACAAGAAGCAGCCCTGGCCAACCAGTCCAAAAAAGAGAAGCTGGAGGCATGGCTCAAGTGGTAGAGCACCTACCTGACTACAAGTGTGAGGCCTTGAGTTCAAACCCCAGTAAAATGTACATAAGATGCAGATACAGGAGCCAGACTGTCATGTATGGATGTGCTCAAGCATGTAGACATATAGACAAGGGTGTGTATTGACATGGATGCCCACATACATACATAGAGTTGACCTTTCCCTATCCATCTATGACTCTTGGCCTAGGGCAAATGTGAATCCAGAGCCTGGAGGGCCTACAGACTCCCACCCTGAGCTCTGCCCATGGTAAACCCTAACTCCATCCTCCACATAGGAGCCTGACCAACGCCATCACTTACCTACTTCCCCCTATACCCAGTCCAGGGCTGTGTGGCTCTGCTTTTGCCTGGACAGCCAGGCCTCCACCGCAAGCCCCGTATCCACCCCAGAACACAAGGCTGACCAGGACAGGGTGGGTGCTCACCACAGCAAAGGCCAGCCGCATGGGCCTGGAGTTGTAGATGAGGTAGCGCCTCACCTGGGGCTCCAGGAGCGCACTCTCAACCAGACTCTTGTACTGCTCGGCAGGGACCTGCACAGCATAGAGGAAAAGACATCGATCACACACAGGACCCCCACGCCACCCACTCCCCACCAACAAGCAGCCTGCTGCCAGACCATGCAGACATTCAGGACCATCCTTGAGGGGAAAATGAGGCCCTTAGGGCGCTGGGTAGAAGTCACCTTGGAGGTGGACAGCCTGAGGGCCAGGAGGGCAGCTGAAGAGGGCATCTGGAGGCTGAGATTCAGTGTCTTACAGCTAGCACAGACGGGCCTCAAGGTTAAGGTACAGGCCTGGGGCAAACTGGCACTCCATTCAAATGCTGTGTGACCTAGAGTAAGCTATGCACCATCTCTGAGCCTCAGTTTCCTCCTCTGTTCAATGAGGGTTATTTCCCTTGTAAGGCTGGAGTATGTATTAAATGAGCTAATACCTACACAGTGCTGGATACAATGCCAGTAGCAGGATGAGCCTAAAGAGCCCTACAAATACAGACAAGAAAGCAGAACTCACAGGTTATATTTAGGAAATGTACTTAGGAACATGATTAACACTGTTCACCAGTAAGAAAAACAAATCTGAGCCAGGTGTCAGTGGCTCACACCTGTAATCCTATCTACTCAGGAAGCTGAGATCTGAGGATCTGCCTGGCCCAGGCAGGAAAGTCCATGAGACTATCTCCAATTAGCCACCAGAAAACCAGAAGTGGTACTATAGCTCAAAATGGTAGAGTGATAGCCTTGAGCAAGGCCCTGAGTTCAAGCCATACATCCAACAACAACAACAAAAATAAGACAAACTCATCAAAAAGGCATGTGTCAGTGCCCAGATGGGGAAAACAGGGCTTGTCAGTGATTGTGTTGGAAGTGTTCCTTCAATTGTGACAATACATTTCTCTGTAATAAAAAATATTTTTTTTTGTCTTCTGTAGGCCATGGGGCTTCAATTCAGGGCATGGGTGCTGTCCCTGAGCTCTTTTGCTCAAGGCTGGTACTCTACCACTTTGAGGCACAGTACCACTTCCAGTTTTCTGGTGCTTAATTGGAGATAGAGTCTCATGGCTTTTCTTGCTGGGCCAGCTTTGATCCTCAGATCTCAGCCTCCTGAGTAGCTATAAACATAGTACCTATTCAGTGTGGGGAGGTTTCTTATTGAGGGAGGGGGGTGTTTTGTTTTTGTTCTTTTAAGACAAGGTCTTGCTATGTAGTACTATGGCTTCAAGCTCAGGATCTTCCTGCCTCTGCTCCTGAATGCTAGGATTACAGGTCACAATTTAGGGGCTTTTGTTGTGTTTTCTTCTGTTTTGTTGTGCTAATTCTGGGGCCTGAACTCACTCTTTTGAGCTCTTCTTTGGCTTCCTCCCAACCCCCAATTCTGGTGCTCTACCACTTCAACCACACACCTCTAGTCCAGCTTTGATGCAGGTTAACTGGAGACTTTTCTGCCCGGCTGGTTTTGAATTGTGATCCTCTAGATCTCAGCCACCTGAGTAACTAGGATAACAGGTGTGAGTCACTGTTACAGAATTCAGTGTTAAAGCGGTAAACTATAAAAATCTTCAGGGCAAAATAAGCACTGCGTTCTCATCATGGTGAATGGCCCCTGGCTAGCTCAAGGAAGACCTAATCATGCAAGGGCTCAGGAAATTAAAAAAAAAAAAAAAAAAAAAACACTTAGAGCTCCTTGCACTGACAACAAGAGATGCACCTTACTGAGCATTTACTACATGCCAGAGATGGTGCACGTGTTCCTCAAGCATTATTTCACTGAACCCTAACCAGAGACCCATGCAGCAGGTATTACCATCACCCTCATCTGCAGTGAGGAAACTGAAGTTGAGAGAGGTGAAGTCCCTCCCCTGGGCCCACGAGGCAGAGCTGGATCTGAGCAGGGACTCTGCCACGCCTGCAAGCACTGTTCCATGAGGAAGCAGTGAGTTCCTGGGACCTTCCCCTTACTGATGCAGTTTCCATCTCCTCCCCCTCCCCCCCCCCCCGCCCCCCAGCACAATCCTACTACTAACCTTCAAGACCCTACATCAGGCCTGCTCCTCCGTGACACCTGCATAGCCATCTCCACCTGGAGCATGTTTATCATTCGCTGCCTCCAGTGTCTATTAGCTCCTGCTGTCCTGACTTTTTCAATACCTGCCCACCTCTAGCGGGCTCTGTGGGCATCCTGAGCCCCTGACCTGTTTGCCTCTGGGCTGCTTATCTAGCAAAGGGACCTTCACACAGTGGGTACCCCATGGGGAAGATTAGGCAGTTCTCATCTTCCCCAGGGGCCTGTCCCAGCTGGAACAGGGTGAGAGTTTAGTAGCTGCATTGTAAAGGATGGATGATTGACTTGATGGATGGGTAAATGGTTGACTTGATGGATGGGTGGATGGATGGAAGGACAGACAGAGGGGAAAATGGATTCCGGACAGTCAGCACGCACCTGAATGCCCCAGGCCTGCAGCTGCTCCTCTGCGGCTCCCAGATCCAAGGAGATGGGTGCACAGGAATTGTTGATTCGGAGCACTGTGAGGACCTGGCCATTGTGAAGCTCTGGAAGCAGAGGGGTCCCAGACAAGCTCAATGCACAACCTGCAGCCTGCCAAAAACGACTTCAGAAGCTGAGCCAGCCACTCACACCTGCAATGCTAGCTACTCAGGATGCTGGGACCCAGGATGAAAGCTAGTCTGGGAAAAGTCCCTGAGATTCTTGTCTCCAATTAACCACCAGAAATAAAGGCGAGAAGTGGAGGTGTGGCTCAAGTGAAAAGGCTTAAGGGGGGGGGGGACCCTAAAAGACAGTACCCAGGTCCTAAGTTCAAGCCCCACCACCAGCACTAAATAAATCATAAAAGGATAAAAATAACAAGATACGCTGAACAATATACAAGTAAGGAAAACCAGACAGAAAGATAAAGTGAACAAAAACAAGTTTCGAGGACCAAGTACAGTGATGCAGGCCTGTAACCTGAGCCAGGCATGTAAAAGGTACAGGTTAAGAGGATCACTGTCTGAGGCCAGCCCGGAAGGGGAAAAAAAATGCACAAGACAGTGCTGGAAAAGAAAACAACACAAAAGCAACTTCCCACAGAGGAATAAGAACTGGCTTGGGAGAGTATTTGGTAAGCTAAGTCCAAAGCTCCAAAGTCAGCACTGCCAGTAAGTAAGTAAATATGGAGGTTCTGCATATGGAGCCTTTACCAGAGCCCCAAGAGGTGGATGTGGTCCCCTGGTGATGGAGACAGGGCAGGAAGTATGGGCAGACAGGGAGGTGGGCCTCAGACCATCCCCTCCACACCACAGAAAGGACGGTGTAAAATTCTCCCCAGGACCTGGGGTCTGACAGGAAGGCTCTGGCCTTCCCCAGCCTGGTTCTCCGCAGTGTTTACCCAAGTGATAGAAAGACTTTTTACTTTACCCTGTCTTGCTTTGCCTTTCTAGAGTTTCTGTACTCCTGACAACATCCTCTGTCTCTTCTGCTGTTTCCAATGAGAAGAGCAAAGCCCTCCCCATAGACATGCTTGTTTTTTGTTTGTTTTTTTTTTTGCTTATGTGGTGCTGAGGAATCGAACCCAGGGCCTCAGGCATGAAAGGCAAGCGCTCTACCACTGAGCCACCTTCCCAGCCCAACATGCTTGTTTTTACACTTAGGCTAAGAAAAGCTACCAAAGGAAAGAAGGTGCATGCGTGTTCATGTGTGCAGGATGGCGCACGTGCCTACACAGGAGCAAGAACCAGCTTGCCAAAACGCAGAAGAGCAATGTCTTTAAAGTCCACAAGAAAGACTTCATTCCATTCTGTGCTACTGCTATAAATATAAATGTCTAAATCGCTTTCCTAACCAAAGTTGTAATATTTTTTTCAGGCAGTCAAATCCTGTTTCAAATCCTGTAAATAACCAGGATATTGATTGCCGTGTCTCCCCTCCCACACACATGCATAATTCAGAGGGCTGGGTCCCCTTGCTACATGCAGCCTTGCATTGCACACAACACTCGTGAAGTATCGCTTGTAGATAGGCTGTGTATAGACACTGCAGACAGGGGACTGCCCTCCCCAAGCTTAATTCTAATGGAGAGGTTGAATGTTTATCCCACAGATAATTATTCCAGACTCAGGTAAGTACTGCAGAGAGAAATGAGAAGGTATCAGAGGGTCTTGACAGGCTGAGCCATTAGAAGATTCCTCAAGGAAGGGATATTTCAGCTGAGTTCTGAAGATGGGTGCAAATTAAGCAAGGAAGAAGCTTAACAGGCAGAAGGAACAGCATGTACAAAGGCCCTGAGGTAGAAAGAACAGCATGTCAAAAACAAAAACAAACAGACAAAAAACAGAACAAGGAGAGCAAGAGCCATTATGGCAGCCGGTGCAAGATGATGAATGACAGATCTTCATGCAAGCCCAGAGGGAGACAACGAAGCAGAAAAATGACATGGCTGGATGTATTTGTAAAAACAACAACAACAACAAAACCTCTCTGGGTGACACATAGACAGAGGATGAACAAGAGGAGAAACTACTTAGGAAGCAGAAGTCAGCGGAAAGAAGAAGGTACAAATGACAGCAAGGGGCCTGGAAATGAATTTCAGAGTCACCCCTCCCCCTTATCTAAGGGCCCCATCACTCACTCATGCAGTAAGGCCAGCACAGCACAGGGGAGGCTGGGGGCGTGACGGGAGAAGGCAGCAACCTTACCTTGCCCCCACGGGGGAGGGCTCCCCCTGGGAAGGGTGCTCCAGCCAGAGGAGGAGGCGGGCAGAGGGCTGGCTGCCCCTCCAGGGTCCATCTGCGGCTCACAGGCCATGGCAGGGAGCCAGCTGGCTTTAGTTCCCCTTCCCAGAGCTGCGGTTCATTCTGGAGCAGCTGACTCGGCTTCAGGGGCCTTCAAAACATAGCACAAAAAGGAACTTCAGGGCTGGGCCTGAGCAGGCTGGGCTTCCCGGAGTCTCAGAGGCCCAGATGACCAGAGATTGGGAAGAACTACCGCAAGTCTTCATGCTAACTTTGGTCTTTCTGATGGTGGTGAGGGAGAGAAAGGAGGAACTAAAATTTCCCCAGGCCTCAACTAAGAACTTCCTTGTGTCTGGGGCCTAGTCCACCCCTGCCCTCTCAGGAGCATCCCAGACCAAGGGCATCCCAGCCAACCAGGCAAGATTCCGATGACACACTTACAACAGGTTCCCAAACAGCTTCCCACAAGACACTGTGACACACACAGGATAAAAAGCAAATACAGAAAACAAACACTGGCAACCACAAAGACAAAAAACAGCCAGCTATCTGATGAACTGGGAATTCCTAACAGAGATTTGTAGTCCAGAACCCCCAGGTTCACCGAAGGTGCAAGGCCTCAGTGCCTCTGAACATATAAAATAGTACTTATTGAAATGAATTCCAAGAAATAGAAACAAGTTGTTTGCTCGTTTGTTTCTGCTGTCAGTGGTGAAGATGGCATGATCTGTTTTTGCTTTCTGATGTGTTTTGTTCTTTTCTTTTTGGTTTTTGGGTGGTTGTTTTTTGTCTTGTTCTTTTATCTGTCTTTAGGGGACAAGGGGGACACAGAAATGGAGAGACCAAGGGTGAATAAATGCAGCAGTGGTACTCACTAGACACTATGTTGAAAATGAATTATCTGCTGGGAAGGTGGCTTAGTGATAGAGTGCTTGCCTAGTATGCAAGAAGTCCTGGGTTTGATTCCTCAGTACCACATAAACAGAAAAAGGCAGAAGTGGCTCTGTAACTTAAGTAGCAGAGCACTAGCCTTGAGCAAGAGAAGCTCAGGGACAGTGCCCAGGCCCTGAGTTCAAGCCCCAGGACTGGCAAAACAAAAACATAAAGAAAGAAAGAAAAGAAAATGAACTATACTAATTGTGGGTGGAGATGAGAGGGAAAAACTGGGAGACAGTGAAGGAAGGGGTGACATTGCCCAAAAAGAACTGTACTCTTTACCTGACTTATGCAACTGCAACCGCTATGAACATCACCCCTATAATAACAATATTTAAAAAAAAAAAAAAAGAATACTCAGGTTCAGACTAAGCAAGGTAAATGCCAGCCCCCGCCCCTCCCCCACTGGCACACTTTGAGTGGTTTCATCTCAGAGTTCCAGTGGTCCTAACCAAAGAACCTTCCCCCACAGCGGCCCAGCAAGGAATCAATGGATGGACAGCTCCAGTAAAGGGCACATACCATGAAATATTAGCTCTTAAAAAAATACTCATGGTGCTGAGCCACAGATTTAGTTCTGAGCTGCCAGGTGGCCAAAGCAAACATGGAAACACTATCAGGTAAACAGCTCTACCTAAGTAGAAAAGAAAAAGATGGTGACATTTAACTCCAAAAGATCTTTAGGATGCTCCCAGCAGCCTCCAGGGCCTCACTGAGGGGCCTGGTGGGCATCAGCCCTTGGCCACTTTTCAGTAGCAAAAGCAGAAGTGCATTCAGTGGAGACTTCCTCGGTGAAACACAGCATCCCCAGACTGTCTGTTCCAGCTACAACCAGCAACTCTGCCATGTCATGGATCCACCTAGGAACTCGAGACCATCCTCTGCCAGGGAAAATTATGCCGGAGTCCCTGGGGATGACACATCAGCTCTTGCCAAATTTCTGAGTGAGAAGTCAACTGGAAGCTTCTTCGTTACCATGGCCAGTGACATCAGCAAAGACATGAAATGTACAGCGGCCACACACCTGCAGCACTCCAGGCAGGAACACACTGTTACTATCAGGACCTGGTGGTTCACATCTGCAATTCTAGCTACTCAGGAGGCTGAAATCTGAGGACGGCCGTTCCAAGCAACACTGGACAAGGATGTCTACGAAACTCTTATCAAGTGGAGCTGTTGCTCAAGTTAATAGAGCACCAGCCTTGAGTCAAAAAATCTAAGGGACAATGTCCAGGCCCCAAGTTCAAGAACTAGAACCAGCACCCCACAGCGCTCCCCCTCCCCGCAAAAAAAAACAAAACAAAAACCTCCATGGGTCTGATCCTTACTAGTGCATCACTATCCACTTCTCTCAAGACTTCACCCAAGACCAGCCACACAATCTGGAAAGTACATTGCAAAGTGAAAAATGTGAGAGCCTTCATACAGAAATGATGGAGACTTCCAAGAGGATCACAGGAGAGCTCACGGGCCTTTCCAAGTGAAGGGGCTTGAGGGACCATGCAAGCTATCTGAGAGAAGCTGGTTCTGATTCCAAGCTCCAGAAAGATTCCCTGGGAACTCTCTTTCCCAAACAAGAATATATCAAAGATGAGGTTTTTTTTTTTTTTTTTTCCCTAGTCCTGGGGCTTGAACTTAGGGCCTAGGCGCTGTCCCTAAGCTTTTTTACTCAAGGCTAGGGATCTATACTTGAGCCCACAGCTCCACTTCTTGGCTTTTTGCTGGTTAATTGGAGAAATGAGTCTCACAGATATTTCTACCCAGGCTGGCTTTGGACTATGATCATCATACCTCAGTCTCCTGAGTAGCTAGGATTAGAGGCATAAGCCATCAACACCCAGTTTAAAGATGAACTTTTAATTAGCAATGACCACACACCTGCCCTGAAGCAGGGCCTAAAGTCAGAAAGCAGCTAAATGTTATGAAAAGACCCAAGACTTTGAAGCCAGAAAGGATGGACTTGAATCTCTGTTCAGCTCCTCCCTGCTCTAGGACCATTGCTGCCAAAAGCACCCAGCCTGTGCCTCACTGCTCCAGTCTATAAAATGGGAGTGGGGAAGGCTACCTGGCCCAGCTGCTGCAGGACAGAAAATGGAAGCAGACATGAAGACAGTGCTCTGTGTTCGCCAACCAGGCCCCTTCTCTGCATGTTTTGTTCTAGTTCACAGGGGAGAAAAGTGAGGGTTACTCATGCAAGATGGCTTGCCCAAAGCTGGCCACTTGGAGTATCTGAAGAACATCAGTATTCCAGCTCAGAATCTAAGCCTAACAATTCCATGCCCTTTCACACCTCTGGACCCTGGTCTGGCTGTCTCCGAACATCTTGAAATTGCTTTTAAAGAGAGCAAATCAGAAGAGTTCACTTCCTGGGCATGATCTAAAAACAAATAACAGTCAGTCTGAGATGCTCAGCAAGGTCTCCTCCTCCCCTAATCCAAGGCTGGGCCCCCAGCAGCACTGCCACATATGACAAGCATGGACCAGCCAGTCTTAGGTCTTTCTTCCTTCTTACCACAGGCCTACAAGAGGCATGAAAGTAACAAAAACAGACACAAGGATGTGCCCCGCACTATACAACCACTTTAGGCCTTGTCTACTTCCTGGGATGGCTTTTGCTAGGCTCCTGAGGGTTCTTCGTGTGATGGCTAGGAGTTACCTCTCCGGTCTATCAGTGCCTGCCTACCAGTACCTGCCTGTGTGGCCTGGAGCAAGCTGCTGAATTTCTCTCTGCCTGTTTCCTTAAGTGAGGTAGAGGTCATGATTGTGGAGTTGGGCCATCCTGGGATTGAGTGTTCACAAATGTAAATCACCCAGAACAGCACCAGAGACAGAACAAAAAAATCAATCTTCAGGGGCCTGATTACGAGAAAGTTAGGGTAAAATCTTAAGTCTTGGCCCAGCCCTCCTACTGGGAATCTCCACGTGATGAAAAGACAAAGGCAGAACAATTACCCAACAAGGAAGACCAAGTAAAGAACCTAGGGACTGGGGAAGGGGCCCTGGAGAGGGGGCCTCTTTAGCTTGGCCAAAGTGGAGGTGAAAGAGGCCGCAGGCCGCTAGGACCTGAGCACTGCCACTGACGCCCTCCCATGCGGAGGCTGCAGAGGCCAGGACCCAGGGTGGGCAGGGCACTACCCACCCTTGTGCCCCTGCCCCAAGGGTCACTTGGCTCCGGTCTCAGGCACCGGGAAAGGCTGGCACCTGGGTGGAAGCGGGAGCCTGGAGAGTGCCCCCCCAGCCCCTGCTGAGCCGGGCCTCTGAGCCACCTTTGAGACCCCCACATTTTACAGGACCGTGGGCTGCTCTGCCCGGCACAGCTCACTTCCCCAGAAATCTGTGACCAGGCTGCCCAGCCTCTCCCCCGCCACCAAGTGTCTGCCTTAGCCTCCTATCACAGGGAGAGGGAAACTTTGTTTTCCTCCAGGAGGTTCCCTGTGGGTTGTCTCAGTGGAATTAATCTCTCTCCCCTCTCAGGAGGGAGGGTCGGGGAACAGAAGCCAGGGGAAGGGAAGGGAGCACGGGGACGGGACGGACAGCAAGTCCCCGCTCCCCATTTCGCAAATGGGGAGAGGAAGGCCCGGAAGAGAGAGTGAACCTACTATCCGGGGTCGGGGAGCCATTCCCAGAGGTCCTTCAAGGCCGGGGCACCGTACCTGGCCTGAACCCCGTCTCTGCCCTCTGGTCTGGTCCAGGCCCACCGCCGCCGGGGGGTGGGGGTGGCGGGAGAGGAGTTGTTCGAGATCTCCTTCACCCCCAAATCAGCCCGACCCGGAGGACGGCGCCGTGCGCAGCTCCCAAACGCAGCCCCCGGGGTGCGGGGTTGGGGCGGGGGAGGGGGCGGGCACTGGCGGGCAGCGCGAACGCAGGCCCGGGAGCCCCGCCGTGCCCGCGCCGCGCGGCCCCGCCGCCGACCGAGGGCGCGCACTCACCACCGCCCGGGCACGCGGAAGGTCGGAGGGGGGCGCAGCGTCCCTCCGCGCAGCCTCCGGGAGCCTGGGTGATCGAGGAGGCCCGCCCACCCCATCCCGCCCCGCCCCGCCCCGCCCCGCGGGCGGAGCCGCCCACCGGGCTTGGTTTCATCATCCGCTCCACGAGCAAGCGAGGTCCCGCCCTGAAGCCAGGCCCCGCGAGACACAGTCACCAGTCAGCAGGAGGCACCGGGCGGGACCCGAGTTCCCGGGGATTTGTGTTCAGTGAGAAGCTGCGCTGGGTGCTCGGACCCCCCTTTCCCCCCTCCGCTCCCAGATACCCCGCCTGGCTTCCGGGTGGTCTGCACTGGATTTTACTGAACCCCTCTGCTGGGGGGGGGGGGGTGCGCCGTGGCCCCCCCCCGTCACTGACGGGAGACAGTATATATATATAATTTATACCACACCTCTGAAGATGGGGGGAGGGGAAGCAAAGACAGCCAGCTCTACTGTGGCCGCCCGGTATCCATCAGCGCAGCTCTCCACTCTGCTTCATCTCCTCTTAAGGGGTTCATAGACTTCCACATCCCAGAGAACAGGCCTTTGCTTTCCTGACCCCTCCTCGGTGCTGAGTGGCTTCCCACGGTGCTGGCGGGATGCTCGTGGTCACTTGGTGGCATGCATTCCCAGGCCAGGCCTTCTCCAAGTGGCTGGACGTGTAGTTTTTATTTCTGCGCTTACTGCCGAACCCGTTGGGGACTTTTGAGACCACAGGGCTCACCTGGCTGTAAGCTCGACTAGCATGGACGGATTCTGCAGCAAGTTGTGGCCCGGCCCCCTCCAAAGCCAGCCTCTCCATGAAGTCAGCTAGCTCCCTGCCCTGCCAGTCTGCCTTCACTCATCCTCTGGCACGAATTTACATTTGGACACCTCTTCATGCAGGGAAGCCGGCTGCAGTGACTAGCTTTGTCACCTAGGATAGCTCAGTTCACTGAGTGCCAACCCCTCACTTGCACAAGGGGGATAGGACAAGAATGCCTGCTAAGGACCACATGCTTATTAGTAAAACAAGTGTTCTCGGATAGCCAGGCACAATGCATCTATACCTCTGAAACGTCTGCGTTCCTGAGCTATCCCCTGCATGGGCAGGGGTAGAATAGAGGAAGGGGAACAAAATTCTGTCAAGTCTGCTGGGAAGCTGACTTCAATGGTGATAGCTTGATGATTTCTCAAGGGTCTTTGTGGTGATCCTGAGCCATTATCCGTGCCCAGCCCACCCTGGACCACTCCTTACCTGCTTTCCCAAGCCGCTAAAACGCTTAAGTTCCATGAATGCAAGAATCTTTCAGTTCCTCCTCTGCACTTGTTCTCTCTCACTTCCAGTTCTCAGTGGTTGCCACTGGCTCCCCATCTAGAGAGTTAACCCCATAGACCTCTCTCCCTTTCATCAATCACAGGACATCATGGGCTACGGCAGGGCAGGGAGTTATGAAATCTAATCACTAAGAACTACGGTTTGGATGATGAGTTAAATAAAAAGAAAATCACATCCTGGCTGGCTGACGTCAGTGGAACAACTCGTGACATGCAGCAGGGTCTAGCTGACCCACAGCCCAAGGAAATGCAGCTCTGGTCTGCTATCCAAGGCCAAAAACTACCCCACCCCTTCCCAGACAGACAATCACACCACCACCGAGTTAGGAGTGGATATATCACCCAGTTTTTAGGAAAATCTCTGCATTTCCGGGAATGATCACCTGCATGTCTGCAGACTCCAATTAAGCTTAGGGTATTGGGAGCTTCAAGGTAAGTCAATCATGCTCCCGCCTGCTCCCTCACCTCCCTTCAGTGTCCTTTCCCTTTACTTTTGCTTTCTTTTGGATTAATAAATCTGCACCTGCTAAGGTAACTTCTGTGCTTACCTTTGAAGTCTTTTCTCCAACAAGATTGAGAACTTTCTGCCCTCCCCTACAACCCATTCAGTAACCTGGATCCAGTAACAACCTAAATCCCTGAGTCTCAGCTGACAGGACCCTTCTTCGGGAGGCCCTTTCCTGCCCTGAGCAGAGGTCTTTCCCCATTCTCACTTGTTTAGCTGAAGTCCACACATATCATATAGTAATGGCACTGTTCAATTCTCTCCCAAAGAGAAAAATACTTTGGGACACACGGCTGTTTCTGCAGAGTCAACACCCTACCCTTAGCATTCCTAAATGTATCTGAAGTAGTGAATCAACAGAGGAACAAAGTCATTAGGGCCTCAATTACAGGAAAAGCCTAGTAACCACAAATCCCAGCCAAAGCTACCCTCACAGCAGATGCTCCATCCGTCCTACTGTGCTTGCAAGGGCAAGAGCCATGTCTGAGGGCCAACTGCCCACCCATTTGGCAACCAAGATGAAGTAACACACTGATCTTTCACCAGCTTGGCAGAACTCTCAAGTGAGGCACAGGAGGGAGCCTCAGAACCACTCCTAAGTGGAAGGCCAGGATCAAAAATTAGATCTTGGGTTTTGGAACCGATTTTCCAATTATAGATTCACTGACTTCCTAAACCTTCTTAGTACCATGCCACCATGACATCTTGATCAAACTGAACCAATCATTCTGCAACTGAGCCTAAGTCTGGGCTTGGCTACTATTAGTTCTACAACCTTGGGCAACTAACTTGATCTCTCTGAACCTCACTCTCCCAATTTATAAGACAAGTATAATAAATAATACAGGAAAATGGTGTGAGAAATCATGTATTGAATTGAATCAACTGAATCACTGCTGATATTAACAGAAATGAATCATTTGGAGAATTATTTCCAAGGGTGTCTCACAGAAGGTTCCACTGCTAGTGGCTCTGTGACATCTGTCTCAACATCAGAAGTCACATAGACAAAGGATGAACTCCATGCAGGATACACATGATTTAGACAGCAGGCGAGACCTTGGTATTTAACACACAGCTATCCTGCCACAAAGTGCTACAAGTGGTACATGTTATCTGTCACAATAGTGGGTCAAACCAGAAGAAAAATTACTCCAAATTCCTGTCCAGAAGGCCAACAATCTACCCAGGGAGTGTCAGGGATTTGTTTCTGCAGTATACATAGCAAAATAAATTCCAGGGACAGGTAGAAGGGGGAAATTTGGAGTGGAGCCAGAGAATGGAGAACTGTGGGAGGGCAGTTGAAGGTTTTAACTAGGGAACTTGACTGTTCAGTCTTCTTATCCTTAAAAACTTCATAGGACAAGGGCAGGCAGCTGCACCATGTACTCAGAACTACTGGGCCAGCTCCTCTCCTCATGGTGTCTGCAGTTGCTGACACCTGTTCGAATGCTGGCACTCTTGCCTCAGAAAATGAGTTGTCTGTCCTCTCAAGCTGACCCACCTCCATCAATCATCCCCAAACACTGTGAACGGTCAATAGTCTGCAATTCACACTTGACCCAAGGGCTAATCAGGGTCATCTGACTTTTTTGTTGTTGTTAAGCCAGCAAAGTTAGAAGTTGGCCAATTATGGGGAAGTGTCTTCTCTCTACACCACCAGCCAAATAAAGATGTTGCCTAGCCTATCTGAAAAAGGGGGTAGAGGGGGCAGGGGAAGCGAAGCCGGAACTGCCAGCTTACCTGGATGCTTTTTCAGCAATTTCAGAACCAATCTAGTGGTCCCGATGGGAGACCAGTTGACTGGAGAAAAACAGTCTGACATCTGCTAGATTGTCTCTGCAGGAGAAAAAAATTTAAGAAAAACAGGAGGTAGGGAGAGCTGACGGTTTTCTTTCCAATGCACAGCTTTCATTAACTTCGGGTACCAGCCATCTTCTTGAGTGAAGGCCAAAGATGTCAAGAAATGCAGAACACTCAGCCAGGACCAGGTTAGAGGCTGAGTTACCAACCACTAGGACTCAGAGCCTGAAGGCAGAGGGTTTTTCCTCCCCTGCTCAGGTATAGTGATTTGGTATGTGTGTCTCTACCTCACTGGAACCCAGAACATCTGCTATGCCTCTCTGTGTTCTCATCCAGGGAGGTGGAATTTCAATGTCTATCCTAAAGGGCCACAGTATACTGATTAAAAACTTCCCAGAATAGGATGAGCCTCCCTCCCTAGATGGCTGCAGAGATTAGATAATGTGGCTTCTAAGTTATTTCCTCTCTCTTGAGTTTCCTCCAATCATAAAATGGGAGTGGCTATTCAGGGAATTTGTGTAATACTGCCCATAAAGTTACACAATGTCCTACTGAAAGCTTTCATAACTCCCTTCAAGGAGATTTTGAGGGAGGTCTAAGCTATGACACCAAATGGAATGGTGTTTTTATCTTTCTAACAGGCAATGAGGGATGTCCTCTTCTGTAGGCAACTATGAAACTACCCAGAGCAGTCAAGAAGCATTAGCTTAGAAACTGAGTACTCAGTACTAAGAAATGAGAAATGGTAACTCAGTACTGAGACTAAGCACAACAGTCATGGGCACAGATGTAAAGATACTGAAGAATCTTAGCTTTGACGGGGCACATCTTTGGATTGGTTCCTTAGCCCCTCTCTGGCTCAATTCCAGCAAAAGAGGGATCAAGTTGGTTAATATAAATGACAAATATTCTTAGAACACTTAACTTGCAAGGAGAAAATACTGCTAGCAATTTTAATAGAAATCATTTGTTTACTCAAGACTATTCAAAATTCTCTGACTTCCCAGCCTCCCTTTCAGTCAGATCAGGTCCTATGACCCACACTGGTCAATGGGCTGAGAAGTTATCATGTGACATTTTAAACTGAAACAAGAACTGGCACGTTGGTCAACTTTTTCTTCTCATCTCTGCAATCATGGATTCATGTGTTGAGAAGGTAGAGCAAAGTGGAAAGTCGTATGAATCACTGGCTCATTACACCAGAGAACAGCTGTCCAAAGTCAACCAACTTGTATGAAACTTGGAAGAAGTTGATTCTGTTCTTCAGAAACAGGAAACATTTGCTTATTACTTATAATGTTCCAGGCACCATATGTGGCACTTTAATGTTATTTTTAATAATTCTTTCCTTACAGCTAACAGTAGTTCTAATCTGGGATAGTATTGGTACCCAGGGGACATACATTTGGTGATGCCTGGTGATAATTCTGGATATCACACTGAATGGGTCCTACTACTGTCTATTGGGTAGGCAGCAGGACACTGCTAAACAGCCCCATAATGGATTTAGTATCAACACGGCCCCCAAAGAAAATCCCTCCCTTTGAAACCCAAACCCTTCCCACTACGACATTTCTATTTCCAGATACACTGTCTATGTAGGTATAGACACATGTACAACTTTTCAATCCTTTTATGTTCAAATAAGAATAAACCACACAGTTCTGAAAATGTCTCAAATTCATTCTCTATCAAAACCAACACTCCTGCCTCGCTGTCTCTAGTGGTCTAACAGACTTACAGCAGACCCTAATTTCTCAGGGCATATCATAGTAGAAGCCCTTTCTCTGAGAACACCAAAGGGAGCTTTTAAGAAACATTAGCTCTGCCCCATTCCAAGAAAGCCACAACTGAGCTAAGAGGGACCTGAGTGTCCCAACCAGCTCTCTGAGAACAATCAAAATTGGGGTCTAGAATGAATTCCTCCACCTGTGCCTTGGATCTCAAAGGCCTCCAGACCCTTGAAACCTCATCCTTCCCAGAATGCCTTCTCAACCTCCTCTAATCCCCTCCCTGCTAGCACTTAATCTCATCTCCCTGCCCTCTAGCCACTGACTACATAAGCCACTACCACCTCTCCCCTCTCCTGAGCTGCTTACACAAAACTGGTCATGTGAACCAACATCATAGAAGAGCAACAATGTGAAAAACTGATCTTGGAGCTAGGGCTGTAGTTCAGTAGTAGGGTAGGCCTAGAACTTCGGGCAGCACACACAAGCACAAAGGTCTAACCCAGTGAAAAGCACTGCGTCTGTTTCAACTGTTTACCCAAGAGTAAATCTTTAACTAAACTGCATCTACTTCTAGTTTGAGATGTTATGGAGATATATTTACTTGATATACAGGTCTAAATATCAAGCTAGCAACTTGATGGCTAGAGCTCAGGAAAGTTATTTTAAGGGGGTGAAACGAGGGTGGTTACATGAAGGAAACGTAGAAAAGGCCAAGACTACATCCATGAGAAAAAAAAAAAAACAAGCAGCAATCAGGAAGAGACAGAACAGAAAACAGCACACCATGGCGTAATGCAAGTAAGTGGTGCAGGAAAGGGTGCCCCAACACTGCCAGGCAGTTGTGAAGGTCAAGGAGAAGAGCAGAGCATGGATGTCTCGATCTGGACACCACTGCAGTGGCAATCCTCGAGTATGTTACAGTGCACAATAGAAAAGCTCAGACAGAGCCCGGTGCCAGTACTCATGCCTGTAATACTAGCTACTCAGGAGACTGAGATCTGAGGATCACAGTTCAAAACCAGCCCGGCAGGAAAGTCTGTGAAATTATTTCCAATTAACAACCAAAATAGTTGGAAGTAGAGTGTGGCTCAAGTGGTAAATGCTAGCTTTGAGCAAAAGAAGCTCAGAAACAGCATCCCAGGACTGACAAAAATAATAATAAAATAAAAAAAAAAAGCTCAGACAGGGCTGGGAAAGTGGCTTAGTGGCAGAGTGCTTTCCTAGAGTGCATGAAGCCCTGGGTTCAATTCCTCAGAACCACATACACAGAATAAGCCGGAAGAAGCACTGTGGCTCAAGTGGTGCTAGCCTTGAACAAAAGCTCAGGGACAGGGCCCAGGCCCTGAGTTCTAGCCCAGGACTGGCAAAAAAAAAAAAGCTCAGACACTAAGCCCTGAAGGTCTTCACTAAAAAAGGCACACAGAAATGAAATAGTAACCAGTAAAAGTGGGCATGCATGTTGAGGTTTTTTTTTTGTTAAACCCCATCTACTGCCACATAATGTTTTAGAATGAGCAAGGAAAGTCCCCAATATTCTCTTCCATAGGCTGATACTCACCAGAAATTATTCTGCAACCAAAGAAAGATCACAAGCCTATTAAGGGATATAGAGCATTGAACTCACCACCTACTGTGAAGCTGCTATAGGATTTCACAACTCCATTAGCCTGTCAAGAAGAAAGCATTTTCATAACTTGCCCAAGGCCCCAAAATAAGGTGCTCTGAAAAGAAAAACTAGACTTCTTAGCTGCTGGCTGTTTTTCAAAAATAATATTATAGGATGAAATTGCAAGCAATTTCCTTCCTGCTAAAATGTGTATGTTGCATATTTTCTAATTATGGATGCAAATGTAGTATGTGTTGAAATTCCTAAGTGAAATTTTGCAAACCAGCTGGAACAAAGCATACTTTACATAATCAAAAAGAACAAACCAATAGGCACCAGTGGCTTACACCTGTAATCTTATTTAGGAGGCTGAGATCAGAGGACTGAGGTTCAAATCCAGCCCAATTACAAAGTACAAGTGACTTCAACTCCAAATTTAGCTGAAGACTAAGCTGAAGGCATGGCATAAAGGGTGGAGCACCAACTGTGAACATGTAAGCTGAGCAACCATATGACTGAGTTCAAACCACAGTACCAGCATAAAGAGGGGGAGGGGGAAGAACAAACCAGAAAAGGAAAACACACGACAAAGATTTTACTCTTAAATGATTATTAGTACACCAAGTAACATGTAGTAAATTCTTAAGTCCTATCATCTAGTCATTTTGATTAAAATAAACAGCAGCCCCAAAAAAGTACATTAGTATTCAATGTTCTAACATTTAGCCAGAATGGACTGCTTTAAGGCTGGCTGCTGCTTTGTACAAGTTACAAATAACTACATACTACTTTTTCATAGATAAAGCCCCTGACCTTTAAGAAAGTATAAGGGAAAAAAATTACTTAATCCCTTTCTTTCTTCAAAGAATTATAATTTGTTTTTATCCTATTAAGATCTAAGGGAAAAAGGTGACACTAACACATTGCTTGAACTGAAAGGCATAGGAAAACAGACAACATATACTCATTAAATCCCTAAGAAATAAGAGGTATAAAGATGAACCTTTGGATAAACACTAAATTTAAACACAGAAGCTAGACTGGCTACTCTGAATACAGAAATAATTTAATGTCTCTCACAGAACAGAACTGGAGCTTTGCTAAGCCTCCACAGTCCATGAGGGTGTCTACCACACCAACCCATGGAAAGGCGCTTCTCTCGTCCTATCCATTTATGCGGTAGTTCTCATGGATTTCTGGCTGGATGTCACACACAAAAGCCAAGAGGTTTTCTAGAACTTCCTCCCTGTTCTGCAGGAAGTAGTTCTGGAGGATGGTCATCTTCTCCTTAGTCTCCTTCTCCACCTCATTGCTGCAACTGCCATGGGATCCCAGTGCCTGGAGTGGAGAAAGGACATGAGGAGCATCAGGAGGAGATTCCAACCAGCCAGAACATTCAGCAAACTACTTGCAGGCTTATGGATCATCAATGAGTACCACAGATCATGCACAAACAGTAAGAGCATGAAAGGAAACAGCTATTTCCCCAGAGTTAATGTGGAGTGACAACTACCTAAAGTACACAGCAGTTGGTCAGCTAGGAAATTATCCCAGAGAATTACTCACATCTCTCCATGGTCTTAACATACAGCTTTAACCAAAAACTAGAAACAATATAAAGACCCAACAACCCCATGATACATACCATGATACAGCACCATGATACATATCTATGATCCCAGCTATATGGAAGCTAAAGCAGGAGAATCACTTGAGGAAGGTAAAAAAAGAAAGTAGCTTATACAAAGAGGCTGGGATTTGCTTAGTTCCTTCACCATCATCATCATCCACATATATAATTAAGGACTGGTTACTCAAGCTATAAAGCTTCTATACAAGAAAATACAGTTCAATGATATGAAATAAATTGTATAATACTAAGTTACAGGGGCAGGAAATATACAACAGTATCAGTGTGATGTGTTTGTGTATGTATGTATGTATGCTTTTGGAAGTGAATGTTAAAAAAATTCAAATCAGGGCCAGGCACTGGCAGCTCAAACCTGTAATCCTAGCTTCTCCAGAGGCTGAGATCTGAGCATCAAGGTTCAAAGCAGCCCAGGCAGGAAAGTCTGTGAGACTCTTATCTCCAATTAATCACTAGAAAACCAAATGTGGAGCTGTGGTTCAAAATAGTACACTAGCCTTGAGCAGAAAAAGTGCAGGGACAATGCCCAGGCCCTGAGTTCAAGACTCGGTACCAGCATACACAGACACATATAAAATTCAAACTACAAACAACAGAACCTAAAATACACTGAAATATGACATGAATATAACATTGTAAGCATACTTTATTAGAACTTGACCCTTCAAGTTCTAGAAAATACGTTTACCTTTTTCATTACCTAACTTGCTCTTACCCCATTTTGTGTGTGTGTATACTCACATCCCTTCACAATTGTATAGCATACTAGTTCTCAAAGCATTCATGTATTAACTTGTTCCTCACAACCATGAGGCTATCACTCCACTTTTTATAGAAGAAGAAACCTAGGCTCAAAGGGCAAAGTGAACATACAACAAAATTGGGTTGGGGCTCAGGGTTCTTTTTTTTTTCAGTCAGGGCTTTAACTTGGGACCTAGGCACTGTCCTTGAGCTTTTCCACTCAAAGCTACCCTTCTATCACTCTGAGTCACAGTGCCACTTCCAATTTTCTAATGGTTAACTGGAAGTAAGAGTCTCAAAGACTTTCCTGCCCAGACTGGCCTCAAACTATGAGCCTCAGATCTCAGCCTCCTGAGCACCTAGCTATTCATAAAGATGCAATAGCCTCAGGCATTTCCTAACAGTTCAGTTGCTAACTCCTATTTTCAAGTCTATAACCCTTACATAGTCAGGGAAGGAAATACTACCACCACCACCACCACCACCACCACCTGTTTCATGAGTGTGAACCAGTCAGTTCTCCCAACACTGAAGAGCTTACTATTACGCATCCTGACACAAGAGCAATTTTGTGTGCAGGATGACAATGTATGACACCATTCATCCCATGAGAAGGCATTCTAACAGCCCTGTACTTGCCCAATATACAGATGGCCAGAACTTTCATTAACTTAGAGGCAAGAGATGTATTCCCAGAATTACTGGACTTGGCAGGGTGTAGGCCTGAAACTCCTGGAAGCTATAAGGCAGAACTTCAGCAGGAAGCATACAAAGTCAGAGGCACAGAGGAGAGAGAGGAGACAGGCAACACTCAAGCTCCTTGGTAAAGACAGACTTGTCTCTCACTTGGGTGAACTGTATCAGCAATAGGCTGTCAGCAACTCTCAACTGTTGTTCAGTTACCAGCAAGAGTCCTTAGTGTGTGGCGCCCACCTCACCTTCTTTTTTCTTTTTTGCCAGTCCTGGAACTTGAACTCAGGCTCTGGATGCTGTCCCTGAGCTTCTTTTAGCTCAAGGATAGCACTCTACTACTTGAGCCACAGCACCACTTCTAGATTGTTCTGAGTAGTTTACTGGAGGTAAGAGTCTCACAGACTTTTCTGCACAAGCTGTCTTCAAACCACGATCCTCAGTTTTTAGCTCCTGAGTAGCTAGGATTATAGGCATGAGCCACCAGTACCTGGTTCACTGATTGTTTTTGTTTGATTGTGGGACTTGATCTCTGGGTCTGGGCACTGTCCCTGAGCTCCTCAGCTCAAGGCAAGCACTCTACCACTTGAGCCACAGCACCATTTCCAGCTTTTTCTGTTTATGTGGTACTGAGGGATCAAACCTAGGGCTTCATGCATGCTAGGCAAGCACTCTTCCGCTAAGCCACATTCCCAGCCCTCGCTGGATTTTTTGGACATAAGATCTCATGTAGTACAGACTGATCACAAACTCAGAATTAACTCCACCTTTTGGGTAGAAATGTCACCCTACCAGGCTGATAGTGGCTCTTTCCCTGTGAAACCCCTCTTCTTCCTTTCCAGAATTTCCCTTCCATCCTTTGTATTCATGAGACCTACTTTTATCATTATTTTACCCCTCACAGCAGTCCACACTGGTGGAGCTGGGTCTCCATCTTATTTACAACTATGGTTGCCATAGCAGAAGGTCTATGTGACTTTCCTCTCATTGTGTCTCTTAGACAAGCTCCATGAAAATAGGGACCTGATCTGTTCTGTTCACAGCCAATCCCCCCAATCCCCCAGCATCTAGCACAGTACCCAGCACATTAGCTATTTAATAAATAACCAAATAAATAAACCATCCTAAAACTCAGCAGAAGCATGCAACAAAACATTCAGTAACCAGGGGCTAGAATAGCTCTGTGGAGTACTTCCTAATATGGAAGAAATAGGTTTGATCCCAGCATTATTCTTTTAAAGTAATAATACAATTATTAAGTTTAAAACACTAGCAGAATCTCCAAGCTATGCTGGATATTTTTGAGCAAACCATCCCTGGAGTTGTTCAGGAAACTAAAGCAAAAATAAAAAGAAACAGGGGCCTACCGCAGCTTCCTTGGCCTTGAACTCTTTCTCCCTCTGCAGGCGGTACTGTTCAATTTCAGCCTGTGCTTCTTCTTTGGCCTGCTTCAGCCTTCGGTTCTTTCCTGTTTTCAAAAAAGAAAGCTACATCAAAGTGGTTAAAAGACAAGTAGAAGAGCAAGCAGACACTGAGATGGTGAATTTAAAAGTAAACAGGGGAGGGGGGGAGTGCACCAGAAAAGGAAATTCAAATCTAGTAGTACAGGTTTCGGCATCCTACAGGCCTTAAGATGATTAAACTGGAGACTGAGTTCAAGCTTCTACACACACACACACACACACACACACACACACACACACACACACACACACACACACACACACACACACACACCGCCTTGTTTCCATTCAGACACACACACACACACCGCCTTCTGTTTCCATTCGGCATCCTACAGGCCTTAAGGTGATTAAACTGGAGACTAAGTTCAAGCTTCTCCACACACACACACACACACACACACACACACACACACACACACACGCCTTCTGTTTCCATTCGGCATCCTACAGGCCTTAAGGTGATTAAACTGGAGACTGAGTTCAAGCTTCTACACACACACACACACACACACACACACACACACACACACACACGCCTTCTGTTTCCATTCGGCATCCTACAGGCCTTAAGGTGATTAAACTGGAGACTGAGTTCAAGCTTACACACACACACACACACACACACACACACACACACACACACACACACACACACCGCCTTCTGTTTCCATAGACCATCCATAGACCATCACAATGATAAAAAGAGTTGGACTGTCAACTGGATTATGTCAAAATAGTCTCTCAATCTCAACTATTAAAAGCCGACAGAAGATGGTAACATTGGCCATCTCTGGAATTCTTCCTTGCCCCAAGAAGTAAATACCTAAGTGTGTTCCTGATGACAACAGGAGCGCTGCTGAGTCAATAGGGAATCTAATGTGCTCCCAAGGGACATCAACTAATGACACAGGTGATGTAACAGTGGAAACTAAACAGCATGCCTGACGCAAGGAAGGAAGTGAAGTAGTGACTGGAAGAATGCTAAATGGGGAACAAGACAGTACAAGCAGCTCAGAGAAACAGTGATGGTGCTTTCCAGAAAACAGTTTAACATCCAGCTGGAAAACAGGTCTAGGCTGCCAGAGACTCAAAGGGTAGGTTGGATTCATGGTCTGTTTTCAAAAGGAAGCCCCAGATGATCAATCTGTATATTCAATTCACAGCAAAAGACACCATGTGTCTAAAACTATGCTGTACATATCATTGTGCATCAACTGTCCAGAGCCTACTGCACCTATATGGATGATGGAGCATCCAGCACAAAGAATTTGAATTTAAACTTCTGCTGCTGAAGAAGACAATACTGGACCTGTAATGACTCCATGCAGCTAATCTGGAACAATTAACACCCTAATGCCTTTTCTGCAGGTCAGTACTTACTACAGTACTATTTAGGCCCACTGCTGTTAGCTTCAATCCACCTGTATCTCAATCCTTCACACACTAACCTCACCATTGGGTTTTAAAACCCAAAGATCTTTTCCAAACCAACCTGTATAACCAACTTCACAGCCTGAACATAACACAGTTGCTCCACATAATTTCCTAATATTTCACACCTAACCTGCACCGCTATGCTCCCTGAATTAATCACACCAGGTAATAACCATCTCTGAAATTACCTTCAAAGTTCAATTTTGACAAGCTTTTCTGGAAACGAAAAATATTGGAACAGAAAATCATAAATAAAATGTGTGCATAAATTTTTGCATTGCTAAGAATTCCATACTAGGCAAGCATTCTACCACCAAGCTGTACCTCATTACCTACATTTCTTTTTTCATTTGATTTCTTTAAGACAGGGTCTCACATTGCAGCCAGGCTGTTCTAGAACTTGCTTTGTAGCCACTTGCCAGTCTTGAAATGCAGGATCCTCCTGCCTCAGCCTTCCAAATACTAGGATTACTGACAGAGATCACCACGCCCGGCCCTGTATTACTCTTAAATTTTGTTTTTCTTGGATCTTACAAATAAGAAAGAGTGCCTTTGTTTCACTCCAAAGTTCTGGGCTTGAACTCAGGGCCTAAGTCTTGCCCCTGAGCTTTTCTGTTCAAGGCTGGTGCTCTACTACTTGAGCCACAGCTTTATTTCTGGCTTTTTGTAGTTAATTGGAGTTAAGAGACTCACTGATGTCCCTACCTGGGCTGGCTTTGAATGGTAGTCCTCAAATCTATCTCCTGAGTAGCTAGGATTAAAGGTGTGAGCCACTAGCATCCATCCACATAATTTTTTGTTTTTAAGATCTGAACTAATGATTTCATGGAAAATCATTGGGCTTGACTCTTTTACAACATCATACAATTCCTCTTCCCAGTTCTTAACTGAAAAGCCAACTGTGTGTACAGATTAAGAAAGGGAGTAATTTCCCCCCCCCCCCCAAAAAATTGGTAGTTTTGAATAATCCTGCAATGTGTTATTAGTCATAAACTCTAACCCTTTAAACCAATTCAATGAGCAAATAGCTAGAGCTACACAAGACTGTGAACCTTAAGAGAAGGGTGTAAAACATGGACCACTGCCTCCAAGGAATGCATTTACTCTTACCACAGTCCAAGTATTTTTTTCTTGCATTTCCCCATTCTCCTGGCCTTCCCAAACAGAACAACTGCTACTGGTAAGTCATCACTGGACAAAAGTCATTCTGGAAATACTGTACCAAGGGCATGACTAGAAATACTCTACAGAACTTTCTAATCACCAAAGCAGGAAGAAAAGACTTCTTCCCATTCCTAGCATGATTAAAGGCAGTTCTTCCTATCAACTGAAGAATAGCACAGTGGAACAAGAGCCATGCTTGAAATCTATACTTGAGTGAAGGAAATTTGAGTTAAGATTAGCAGAAACACCTTGTACAGGACAAGAGACTCCAACTCACAGCGCCTGATCAAATCATTTCTCTCTGAGCCTCATTTTCCCAACTCTAAAGCAGGAGCAGAACACCTTTCTCATCAGATGGGAAACTAGATAGATATAGTTAAATGAGGAAACAATGTGAAAAAGCTTACAGGTGAAATAAAAGTAGTTGCCTCTGAGCCCCTCAGGATAGCTAGAGTGCCCTAAAGTGACAATGGGCAAGAACACAAATGTCTGATGAGAAGAGCTTCATTCTGCGGCCCTAGAAGTGTGTTGATGGCGTTGAGAGAAGTCATGTAAGTGCATATGACATGGATGACCGCCTGCAGGGGACCATGGCTGGCTCCTTGTACGCCTCAGCCTAGATTACACCTACCTGTTAAACGATACAACGACTTTGTACCTCTCGACCCTACCCATCAACTGCTACCTTCATGGGAGCGAGGGATCTGGCACTCACTAGCGCAAATTTGCTTGTTTTGTTTTTAACGTAAGGAATCAACGAGTCCGGCTGCTTACTGGAACTTCTGAGAAACTGTTCTGAGAAACTGGATTACGATGCTGGCAGAGAAGATGGAGGACACAAATGGCAAGTCCACAGAAACGCAAAGCTTTGTTCAGTGAGAACGTGTTACCACGAGGGAGGCAGGAGCGAAGCCTGCAGATCAGGGCTCTGAACGACTCTGGCTGGAGGTGATGGCTGCTGTGCCTGGTCGGAGCCCCGGAAAGTACAAGGTGGGGCCAGGAAGTGAGGGAAAGACAAAGCGTTTCGTGGGATGGGCTGGGACGGCCCTTCCCTCAGCCCTCCCAGCCCCGCCAGCGCGGATCCCCGGCGGCCCACAAGACCTCCAGCGCTGCAGCTCCGGGGCCGGGGCCGGGGCCGAGGCCGAGGCCGAGGCCGAGGCCGCCGCCGCCGCCGCCGCAACCCGGGACTGGGCGGCGTTTCTGGCCTCTCCGCCCACCACCACCCGCGGCTTCGTGGGGCCTAGGATTAACTCCAGGCCGTCCCGCCCTCCACTCACGCTTGCGGGCCTCGGACACCTTCTCGGCCGCACGCTTCTCGGCCTGCAGCAGCTGCTGAATCCCCTGCGACTGACTAGCCATGGCGGCGGAGACGCAGAGGCCGAGCAGCCCGAGCCCGAGTCCCCGCGCCACCGCCGCTCCGGTCACCTGACCCGCCGCCCGCGATCTGCGCGTGCGCCTAGCGCCTGAGCCCCGCCCAGCACGCCACGTGATCCTACAGCGCCGTAGTCTCAGCTGACCCACTGGGCGTTCCCGTGACTCCCGCGGGAGGGAGTTAGACTTGGGCCAGAAGAGCTGGGCGTTCTGGGTCGGCGCCCCTGTCCACCCCTTCCTCTCGCCCCATTTCCTCGTCCGCCCTGCTCGCCGCGGCGTCCTGACCACCACCTTGTCACGTGGTGGTTCCCTTAACCCCTCACTTTGCCGGCGACTCCCTGTCCTTCTAGAACCTTCTCGATCGGTGCAGGAGCAGTCGGGGGTATGGTAGTGGGGCTTCGGCGATCCCCGCACTCCTGGGATTTAAGGGGCTGAGGCGAGAGGAGAGCGAGTCCGAGGTCAGTCTGGCCCAGCCAGATCCAGTCTGTCCGTCTGGGGCCTAGAGTCCCGGGTTAGGATAGCGCTAGTACTGGGGCGGGGGGTGAGGGGGGCGTGGATGGATAAATCAGTAGTAGAGTCCAGGGTTCAATTCCCAGCACCCCACAAAGAAAACGAGTCACTTAACAGTCAAGTCTGCTACTAGTCTATGTGATTTGGGAACAGTCACTGTGCCTTTCTGAACTGAGTTCCAGAAACGATTGTACTGTTTTCTGCAAACATTTGGTACCTTTATGATCAGGTACCAAGGTCGAGTACCAAGCAAGATAAATAAGGTCCCAATTAGAGCTGTTTATGGACAAAACACAGATCACGGTTTCAAACTAATTACAAATTAATGAAGAAAATAAAGTTCTGTAAGAAGTACCCTTTTAAGAAGGAGGGAATGTGGAGGCCCTTCTGAGGAAGTGGTATTTGAGGTGAAATCTTAGAGCTGAGTATGAAGTTTAATAGTAGAACCCTTGTCTACTGATAAACCAGACTTTAGGTTCTATTCCTGGGGCGGCTGGAGGAAGGCAAGATGTCAGTGGTTGTTTGCCAAGTAGGACAGGCACTTTCCTAAACAGCATTCCTCCCCCAGAAAGATCAGAATTACTGCGAAATGATAATCCTATTGTATAATGACGAAACTGAAACACAGCACTTTAAGTGGCTTCTCCACAGTTACACCCCTATTAACTTGATTTGAATCTTGTCAGGGCTGCAGAGTGGCACCGCTGAACAAGATTTCTAGGCTATGGATGACATCTTAGAGTTTACCAGGTCCTGAAGACATAAAACAATGCCAGAAGGGTTTTTTTCCCCCTAGAACTATCTCTGCACTCAAGGAGGAGGGTGGATTTGTAGCACAGGATATTTTTGTATGATTGTGGTTGAGGGTGGGACTAAAAAGAAAGCTGCAGTCCAGGATTCCTATTCTTTCTTGACATAAGAACCAGGACTTGACTGGTTTCTGGGATCCTTAAGCCAGATCACTATAATTTCTTGAGTTGTAAATTTTAGTGTTCTCAGAAAATATAATTCACTCAGTCACATCAGTGAAAGATCACTTCTAGGGGTGAAGATAAAAAGAAATGATGGCATCCATCAAGTGAAACCACTCAGTTCTCCAGCTACTGAGAAGCAGGCAAACAAAATAGCTTATCCATACATCAGAAAGTATCCAGTCACAAAAAGGAATCCATTAGTGATATAAGGGCACATATTGGAACTTCTCTTTATATGAATGTCCAAGCCTTGCACAGTAGCATGTAACTATAGTCCTAGCTTCTTAACTTGTGAAGGTGAGGTAGAAGGGATTAAGCACGCAAGTTGAAAATCAACTTGGGTAATGTAGTAGGACTCTACCTAGAAAAAAACCTAGACACAAGTTATATATACTCCAAGAAATGGGGTGATGACAGACAGACAGATAGACATGTAGATATACAAATAGATGAACTGTCAAAAATAGGCAGGTCTATGTAAGTTAGAAAGTAGACTCATGATTAACTCATGGTGAAGGACTGCTCACCAGTACAGAATTTCTCCAAAAGGGATATAAACATTTCAAAATTAGATATAGGTGATGGTGACACGTTCTTTTAAATAAATATATGCATATATAAACTGATTTATACACTTTTAAGGAGTTAACAATATATGTGAATTCTATCTCACTAAAGTTTTTGCTTTATATAATTTTATTTTGAAGCGAGGGTGGGGTGGTGGGGGAGGGGGGGCTGGTCGTGGTGCTTGAACTCTAGGCCTGGGCACTGTCCCTAAGCTCTTCAGCTTAAGGCTAGCACTCTACCACTTGAGTCACAGTTCCACTTGTGGCTATTTCTGTTTATGTGGTGATGAGGAATCGAACTCAGGGCCTCATGTATGCGAGGCAAGCACTCTACCACTGAGCCATCTTCCCAGCCTCTTTATATAATTTTAAAGGGTATAACCCCTGTTTTCACTGTACTTGATTCTGATGTTTTTCATCCTGTTTATACATTTTTGTAATTTGGGGAGGGGAAGGCATATAGTGGAATGCTTAAATGGGGATGCAGGTTGACCTATTGTGACAATGAGACACTATTTTGAAAGGACACTATGTTGAAAACTAACTTTACAATGTGGGGGGGAGGGGAAAGAGGATGTGAAGAAGTAGGGAGGGAAGGGATGATAGGGGAAAAACAAAGGAGGAGGTAACAATGCTCCATAGGAAATGTACTCATTACCCTACTTGTGTAACTGTAACCCCTCTGTACAGTATTTTTACAATAAAATATATATATATATATACATTAAAAAAAAAAGGAAAAAGGAAACTAAAGTTTTTAGATATCAGGCACAAACTCCAGGAAATCACATCAGCCTTAGCAACTGGCCCCAATATGCCAATATAAAGAGACAAGGTGAGGGGCAAAGAAAGAAAATCTGTGTGGCAGCCACAGGAAGAGCACACCTCAGCACAGGTTCAGCTGTCTTCAGCTCTCTTCTGGGTTACAGATATTTGCCATCAGTTAAATAGAGAGACCTGAGAGTAAGAGTGAGAAAGGTATACATTAGCTAAAACAATCTGGTCAAGTGTGTTCAGAAGTGGCCTGACAGTCCATTGTCTCTGACACTCATTGCAAGAAGGTAAAGCCTTGTTAGAATAAGAGTCGCTGACACCTGGGAGGTGGTCTAATGCTTCCTGGATTACAAAATGGCTGTAAAATGACAGCAGGAGAGAATGACTCTGGACAAAGGACTTAGGTACAAAAATGGAGGAGTCTTGGATTGCCTACCCTTTATTCTGTTCCCAGTTAATTTGTAGGCCCAAGTAAGAAGCCAATGTTTCTCAACAAAAAGCACCTCCTACAGAGAGCAATGCCAAAGTTGAGTGTGAAATGCCAGCAAATGGAAGCTGCTGTTTTTATCTGACTAAAGGAGACTTGTTTGAACTCCTCCACTACTGCTGTATCTCAACGGTTCTAGTAGGTTGTGTTTTCATTTTCATTAGATACCAGGACTTTTTTTATTTCTCTTCTTATTACTTCAGTAACTCAAACATTATACAACAACATGTTGTTCAGATTTGCATGCTGGAATATTTTTGTGATATCTTTTTCTGTTGAGTTCTACTTTAATTTTATTATAGAATACAGGGAGTTATTTCAATTTTCCTGCATTTGCTAAAACTTGCTTTGTGTCCTAGAATATGATCTATTTTGGAGAAAGTTCTATGGGCTGCCGAGAAGAAGGTATACTGTGCAGTTACTGGTATAATACTCTGTATATGTCTGTCTAGTCCATTTGGTCTATGATTTCATTTGGATTTTTTTTGGTTGATATTTTATTTGAATGACCTCTCTATTAGAGAGTGGGATATTGAAGTCTCCCACTATTATTGGGCTGGGGTCTGTGCTTGTAAATCCAAAGTGTTTGCTTAATGAACCTGTGTTTGTCACTATTTGTTGCAATTTGTTAATAACTACAATTTCCTCTCTCTTTCTCTCTCTCTCTCTCTCTCTCTCTCTCTCTCTCTCTCTCTCTTTGCAGTACTGGGGCCAGTGTCAGAGTCTAGCACTTACTTGGTTTACTTATTCATGGCTGGTGCTCTACCAACAGAACCACACTTCCAGTTTGGCTTTTTTTGAAGGTCATTGTGGAGATGGAGTCTCATGGACTTTTCTACTTAGGCTGGCTTTCTTTCTACATAGCTAGGATTACAGGTTTAACCCACCAGTGTCCAGATTATAATTTCTTCTTAATGAATTTTCCCTTTATTAATATAAAACATCTTTCTTTGTCTCTTGTGACAGATTTTAGTTTGAAGTCTATTTTATTAACTATATGAACAAAGTGTTAGCTGCTAGGCAATGCTTTAAAATGCATGACCAGGAGTCGGTGGAATTCAGGAGGTTAAGATCTGAGCATAGCAGTTTGAAGCCAGTCAGGGCAAGAAAGTTTATGAGACTTTTATCTCAAATTAGCCAGCAAAAAGCCAGAAGTGGAGCTGTGGCTCAAGATCACTAGCCTTGGGCCTAAAAGAGCTCAGGAACAGTGCTTTGGCCCTAAATTCAAGCCTTGGGATTGGCACACACAAAAAAGGCAATCACCTACATTTGGAGGCAAGAGAGGGTATAAGTGATTATTATCTGCTCCTTCCAGGTTGGTTGTTTTGTTTGTTTCATCCTAAGATCTCCCCCAAACCATGGGAACCAACCAAATCACCAAAGCACTCTGACTCACTCTTTTTGGGTAATCTAGAGTAACCATTGTTGAATACTAAATCCTCTGCCCAGAAGATATTCCTGTCAGCCACTTACAAAAACATGTGATGTGTGGCTTTTAACCAAGCATGCTCAGGAGTGTACCCGCCTCTTGTGTGCTGATGAGTCTTTCTCAAATGTATATGTACAGGTTTTTACCAATGAAAATCCTTTGCTTCCTTTGTTTGAGGAGATTCTCCTTTGAGAATTTTCTCTGGTGTGTTCATTATTTGCTACAAGTAATAAACCTTTCTTCATTATTTTATCCCCTGGTTGTGTAATTGTCATTGCACATTCCAAGAGGAAAATCCAGTGTATTTGGTTACAAAATGATAGTCTGTTATTAC